TCACTCCTGGTGGGGCTTGCATGCAAGCCTTACCAGCCATGCTATCTACCTGGTGGTCCTGCTTTCTTCTTGAGCCACATCACCAGCCTCATGGCCAAGTGCTGGAGGGTCGTGTGTGTGCATTTAGGAATCTCGCAGTTGCTATGGTCCTTGGCTATGTTGAAATGTGAAAGACAGTTGTGTTGGCCTGGGTGTTGAATTTAGAGAGGAACAGCGGCTTACATGCCAGCCTCATGTGAGTTTGATAAAGCTGGTTCTGGGGTTTAATCAGTCAGATAGACCTTTCAGAATGTGTTCATACTTGTGTGCTGAAATACACATTGCACACACAATGTATCAGAGTGTCCACATGCATACTAACAATGTTTATTTTTAAAAAGAATGGACGGTGGATCCAAATGTCTCAGCCCTACACTGACCCACTCTCAGATAACGTTTCACTTATTTAGAAGCTATTACTGGAATACGCAGTGCCAGGCCCTGTATCAGGCATCGGGCATTCAGGCTAGGGTGAAGTTCCAGGAGCTGTCTGAAAGCGGAAGAGGGTGCATAGGGGCTTGGTGACTCAGGGAGGCAGGTGGGCACCAGACCAGCCTTTTTCGGTTTGTGTTTTGGGCCATACCCGGCAGTGCTCAGGGCTTTCTCCTGGCTCTGCATTCATATGTCTTCCCTAGCGGTGCTTGGGGGACCATATGGGGTGCCTGGGATTGATTGAACTTGACTTGGCCGCTTGCGGGGCAGGGCAAGCACCTTACCCGCTGTACTACTGCTCTGGACCCACAGCTTATTTTTCTGTTTGTTTGTTTTGGGGACACACCCAGCAATGCTTAGGGTTTGCTCCTGGCTTTGCACTCAGAGATCACTCCTGGCAGGCCAGGATGGAAGGATCGAACCTGGGTCGGCTGAGTGCAAGACAAACGCTCTCCCTGCACCTTATTTTTTTTTAAACTCAGTTTCCCGTGGATCGGGTTGCAGTTTGGATTGAGTGGTAAGAGCAATGCACGACCCTCAGAAGGATGAGATCAGGGGCGTGACCTGAGCTGGTCTGTTTAAAAATATCGCTTTGGTTGCGGTGAAGGAGGAATGTAGGAGGCACGCGTGGATGCAGGGAGAGAGATGCGCGCGGGCGGCTCCAAACTAGATGGGAGCCCTTAGGGGAGCCGTGGGAGGCCCGTTGCTTGCAGTGTCTTGTCACCAGAAGTGAGGTGCTGAGCACCCGACTCCGCCAGGACCTGAGCTCCCCGCAGCAACCCGACGCTACCTTCAGCACTTTCCCCCAGCCTGTTAAAGTGCCTGTCTGCATTGACTGCCCTCCCCAGGGCGCAGAACTTCCTAGAGTGGCACATTTTCATTTCATTTCGTTTCTCTCTCTCTTTTTTAAATTGAGTCACCGTGACATACACAGTTACAAAGCTGTTCATGATCAGGTTTCAGTCCTCCAGTGATCCAACACCCATCCCTCCACCAGTGTCCGCATTTCCCTCCCGTCACCCCCTAGAATGGCACGTTGTCATTGCAGAATGAAAGATGCTTTTTTCGTCATATGCCAAAATGATACGACGTCACTCACTCACATTCTCCTCAGGACAAAGATAATGATTTTGCTGCAGGGGCACGCAGGAAGGGTGACACTCAGGATCACTTCAAATTTAGGCAAGAAACTGAAATCAGACTTTGGCTCCCGAGTTTTAACTCCTTGCTTAGCACAGCTGCCTTGAGAATAATTCCCTGGAATTACCAGCTACTCAGCAATTTCCTCACACAGGGACGGGGCTGCTAACATTGGTTTGGGAGCTACTCCCAGTGGTGCTCAGGGCATGTTCTGACTCTGTGCTCCGGAGCTCAGGGGACCATATGGGATGCTGTCATTGAATCCGGGTTGGCCATGTGCAGGGCAAGCGCCCTGCCTTCTGCGCTATTCCTCTGGCTCTGACAAGTAGGAAAGGTTTAAGAACCCATTCCTGCACGCTCACGGCTCACTCTAGGCTCTGTCCTCCGGGACCGCTCCTGGCAGTGCTCAGGGGACCGCGTGTGGTGCTGGGGATCAGATCAGGGTTAGCTGCAGGCAGGGCGAGTACCTTAACCCCTGTATTATCTCTCCAGCCCCACAGATGTGTTTTCAGAGTAGCCGAGCGGGCCAGGGAGAGAGCGTATGTTCTGCGTGCAGGAGGCCCTTGATCCCTGAGCACAAGGCGGGGAGTAGCCCTTGATCCCTGCCAGGTACGGCCTGGCAAAAGAATCACAAAAAAACTGCAGGTGAATCTATCGTACATCAAAGCTCAAGTTGTCTGACTGTGGACTAGAACTTTTCATTTCTAATTATATGTTATTTGAAATAATGAGCCATGAGACTAAGCTTATGAAAAGGCAGTTTGTCATAACATAAATGATCCCTGCGTCAAAATGGCCTGTTTGCAGCTGACATAATTATGTACCAGAAAAATCTGTCCTGTGTATCTTCCACCAATAATAACATTGTCAACAACCGTGGTAGCTAATGTTTGTTAAGCTCTTACCTCTGCCTGCCTCGGTGCTAAATGCCAGGCGCGGGTTTTCCCTGTCACCACCTTTGTCCTCTATTTACTCTTAATAACCCAATACTGGGCTGGAGTGATAGCACAGCGGGTAGGGCGTTTGTCTTACATGCTGCCAACATGGGTGATCCGAGTTCAATTCCTCCGCCCCTCTCAGAGAGCCCGGCAAGCTACCGAGAAGATCTCGTCCACATGGCAAAGCCTGGCAAGCTACCCGTGACGTATTTGATATGCCAAACACAATAACAAGTCCCACAATGTTACTGGGCCTGCTCGAGCAAATTGATGAACAATGGGAAGACAGTGTCAGTGAACCGATGCTAAGGTGTGACTCCTGGAGCGATAGCACAGTGGGTAGGGCATTTGCCTTCCACGCGGCCGGCCTGGGTTTGATTCCTCCGCCCCTCTCCGAGAGCCCGGCAAGCTACCAAGAGTATCTCGCCCGCACGGTAGAGCCTGGCAAGCTACCTGTGAGGTATTCGATATGCCAAAAACAGTAACAAGTCTCACAATGTAGACGTTCCTGGGCCCATTCGAGCAAATTGATGGACAATGGGAGAACAGTGCTACAGTGCGAGATGTGACTCAAGGTCTCAAATGGAACCATGTAGTTCACTCAGTAAAGGGATAAGGTGATGGCCCGTCTGACCTGCTGCCACTCACCTATGGGGGCTGAGACTCCCTCCAAGCCGTGGGAGTCACCTCCTCGGAGTCACTTCCTCGGCAGGCTACTCTGTGAGCCATTTCTGTCAAACTTGCAAAGGTGCGAACCTGTGGCCACAGTAGTGTCTGGGTTTCCTTCAGAGTCACAAGTCTTGGAGCCGGAGTGATAGGACAGCAGTTATGGCGTTGGCCTTGCAGTGCCGCCAGTCCGGGTTTGGTCCCCGACACCTAGAGCCAGGTGGGAGTGGTCTCATACTGGGAATGGGATTGATGATCGGGAAAATTATGCAGGTGGAATTTGATCATGCTGATTGTAAAGTTGGGTGCTATGAATAACTTTGTAAATTACAGTGCCTTAATAAAAACATTAAAAAAAGAGCCCTAAGTTAATTTAGGTTGTTTTGGAAAGAAATAGCACAATGTAACAGTTGAAAGTTTGATTTCTTAGGGCTGGAGAGATAATACTTCCCCCGCTCCAATAAAAAATAATAAAACATTAGTGTTCATAGAAGTCTGCCTTCTTCGTCCCTATACTCTTACTTTGTTTGATTTTGGACCATACGTCATAGCATTGAGGATTTAATCCTGGCCTGGGGTTCAAGGGTCACTTCAGGCAGTACTTGGGGGACCACGTGTGGGGCAGGGGATCAAACTAGAGTTGACCACATGCAAGGCAAGGCCTCTGGACAGTCTCTCCGACCCATCTTCATGCTCTTGATGAAAATTTTCATTTCTGTCTTCCTTTCTATTCTCTGTCATTGCCCTTTCACAGTTGGTTTCTGGGATAAGGTTGCATAATTTAGTAATGATATAAGTCATGCTTTATTTAAGTAAATAAATCTATTAGAAAAAAAATTTTTTAAAGTCCCTGGGTAGGAGAGCAAGTCCAGGGTCCACGCAGGTGCTACCGTGGTAATGGTACATGTGAACATGGTAGAACTCGGGACCCTGTGTTCGCAAGACGGGCTCTGAGGCCACATGTAGTTCCTCTGGGCTAGCAGTTGGATTTCTAGAACCCATATTGGCCGTGTTGCAGGCTCTCTACCCGCTGTACTTAAAATTGAGGGCTTGAGCCCTCAATTTTGTGTTTCTAAAACTTGTTTGAAACAATTTCCTGTTTACTCAGATGTTGCAATAATAGTACGAAGAACTTCATTTGGGCTGGAAAGATAGTCCAGCGGGCAAGGCATTTTGCCTTGTATGCGACTTGTCCTGCCTCGATCCCCGACAATCACATATGGTCCCCTGAGCACCACTAGGAATAATTCCCAAGTTCAGAGCCTGGAGTAACCCCTGAGCATTGCTGGGTGTGACCCAAAAACAAACAAACAAAAAAACCCCAAAGAACCTTATTTTGTCACCCAGAGTCACAGTTGATATTGCATTACAAACATCAAAATCAGAAAATCTACATTCATTCTCTCTTTCTCTTTCTCTCTCTCTTTCTCTCTCGCTTACCTTTGGCTCTGAGCTCACGTGTAGTGGTGCTCAGGGGGACCATTTGGGGTGCAGAGGATAAGCCCTGGTTCGCTGCACTAAGGCATTCTTGCTTGCTGTACTATCTCTATGGCCCCTTATTAAACATTGGAGGAAGAAAATTCTGGGCCCACTCCCAGCTTGGTTCTTTGGTGGATTACGCAGAACCGGGAATCGAACCCAGAGTGGCAACTAGCAGAACTGTGCTCCATCCCTGTGACACCGTTGGCTTGCATTTACAGTGCCCATGACGCATTGTAGCTGTCACCCCTGTGGGAAATGGTTATGACGAAATCTCAAGCTCTTCATGCCTGTTTCTCTCCCAAGATGGTTTCACCCGAACATCACTGGCGTGGAGGCAGAGAACCTGCTCCTGACCCGAGGAGTTGATGGCAGCTTTCTGGCGAGACCCAGTAAAAGCAACCCTGGAGACTTCACTCTCTCCGTTCGGTAAGTTGGGACCCTGCGGGGGCACTGGGGAGTTTTCCAGGTCGGAGTTGGTGAGGCTGTGCCAGCCAGCCTTCCTCCCTCCTGCACGCCCCTGCCCTGTGGTGCTGCCCAGTGGGGCCCTGGCCCGTGGAGCAGAGGTGAATCAAGCCCGCATGGGCACCTCTGGGTGTTTCTTCTATTGAGACCCCTGGATTAATGGAACAGTCGAATGAGTTCTTTTCTTTTTTTTTTTCTTTTTGGGTCATGCCCAGTGATGCACAGGGGTTACTCCTGGCGCATGCACTCAGGAATTACTCCTGACGGTGCTCGGGGGACCATATGGGATGTTGGGAATCGAACCTGGGATGGCTGCATGCAAGGCAAACACCCTACCCGCTGTGCTATTGCTCCAGCTCCGAGTGAGTGCTTTTTTTGGTGTTTTTTTTTGGGAGCTACACCCAGCGGTGCTCAGGACTTGCTCCTGGCTCTGCACTCAGGGATTACTCTTCGAGGTGCTTTGGGGACCACATGCGGGGGATCAAACTGGAGTTGGCCGTGTGCAAGCCAGCTTCTTGGGGCTGGTCCCCAAACAAAACAGACACAAGAACCAGAGCATTTTGGTCACCCTGAAAAGCACCTCTTTGTCCTTTTTTGGGGAGGTGGGATAGGGTTACCCCTGGTGGTGCTCAGGGCTTTTCTGGCTCAGGGTCACTCCTGGGCAGCTCTCCCAGAGTCACAATATTTGGGAGAGGATGGAAGTGGGGTCTACCACATGCAAGGTGAGTGTCTTAACCATGCATTCTCTCCCTGGCCCACATCTCTATTGTTCGGTGTGTCAGAGGTGATTTTAGTGATTTCGTTTTGGGGCTACACCCAGGGTGCTCAGGGATCACTCCTGGTAGAGTCAGGGCCATCTTTGGTGCTGGGAGTGAACTTGGGTCAGTACATGTACAGGGTAGGTGCCTTCTGCACTGTACTGTCTCCAATGCCAGTCTTTGTTTTTTTTTTTTTTGTATATAATTTAAAAAATTTTTAATTGTGAGATAGACCATTACCAAGCTGTTCATGACTGGGTTTCAGTCATACAGTGACCCAACACCCATCCCTCTGCCAGTTTATATTTCCTACCACTGATGTCTCATTTCCTTCCTGCATCCCCCCCCCCACACACACACCCCTCTGTTGCAGGCACTTTAGTTCTTTCTCTCTGTCTCTCCTTTTTTTTAAAATTTATTTATTTATTTATTGCTTTTTTGGGTCACACCCGGCGATGCACAGGGGTTACTCCTGCCTCATGCACTCAGGAATCACTCCTGGCGGTACTCAGGGGACCATATGGGACTCAAACCCTGGTCGGCCGTGTGCAAGGCAAATGCCCTACCTGCTGTGGTATCGCTCCAGCCCGTCTGTCCTTTTGTGCATTATGGTTTGTAGTATAGGTACTAAGAGGTTATCATCTTGTTCAGGGGGTTTGGTATATTTATCAGGAAGGAAAGACTGGAGAAGCTTTTTTAAAGGGCTGGCAGCTTTTTTGTTTTTGTTTTTGTTTTGCTTTTTGGGTCACACCCGGCGATGCACACGGTTTCCTCCTGGCTTTGCACTCAGGAATCACTCCTGGTGGTGCTCAGGGTACCATATGGGATGCTGGGAATCGAATCCGGGTCAGCCATGTACAAGACAAATGCCCTCTCTGCTGTACTATTGCCCCAGCCCCAGGGATGGTATCTTTGGGGTGTCGATGTGACTTCAGGGGCTTCTAGAAATACAGGGAGGTGGGGGTTGGTAGCCCATCCCAACCCTGAGAAAGTCTGGAAATTTCAGTTACAAAACCTGCATACCTGAATTTTCAGCAGATTAGTATCTCAGTGGGGCCCATCCCAAGACAGTAGAATTTGGCTGGGGTCACAGCAGCGATTATGGATTGTGGGAACTAGCGGCTTCTGGGGACTCTGTTTGGATGGACACTGGGCTTAAAGCCCCCAGCCCCCATGTTCCCTAGATTATTCAGCCATGTGAGCCTGAGATTTACTGTAGCTTTTGATCTTTTTTTTTTTTTATGTAGGAGTACTGCTATTTATTCAGCCACTGATTAGCTGATTAAATTGGGCATGAACTCCACCTTACTTTTTTTTTTCTTCTTTTATAATTTTATTTATTGACTCACTGTGATAGCAGTTATAAAGCTTTTGGGTTTAAGTCTTGGTCATATAATGAAACACCTGTACCTTCACCAGTGCCCATTCTCCACCCCCAACAACCCCAGAATATCCCCACCCCACATCCTCCCCCTACCTGTGGGGAAGATTATTTCCACATTACTCTCTCTCTCGAGCTGGAGCGATAGCACAGCGGGTAGGGCATTCGCCTTACACGCAGTCAACATGGCCGACCCGAGTTTGATTCCTCCGCCCCTCTCGGAGAGCCCGGCAAGCTACCGAGAGTATTCGATATGCCAGACACAGTAACAACAAAGTCTCCAATGGAGACGTTATTGGGCCCGCTCGAGCAAATCGACGATCAACGGGAGGGCCTTTACCTTTACCTTACTCTCTCTCTACTTTGATCACATTCACTATTTTGACACCAGACCCACCATTATTATATGGGATTTTACCCCAACACTCAGATCTGCTAAAAAGGCAGCAGTAGACAATTTGTGTTCTATTGCTGGTTATGGATAACATATGATTTTGAAATTCTGAAATTTTAACACTTAAATCTGGAGGGATTTTTGCCAAAACCTGCTGGGTTCCGAGACTTGTTCCTGAGTCTCTGGGATCATGACCATTAAGCAACTTGATCAGGAGCCAGAAAGGCCATTCATGGGCGGCGACTCTGGGTCTCTGTTGGGGTGGGGAGGGAAGGACTGGCCTATGAGACCCCGCGTGTCTCGTCACTGAGGGCCCAAATCTGACTGTCCAATGGCCTCTGGAGGATGGCGGCCACCGAGCCACCTGGGGGAGCAGGCAGAGGGACAACACCCTTTCCCCCCTGGGGTGGCCCAGAGACAGTAACCTACTGCGGGTCCAGACACATTTCTGCCAAAAGCCACTGGGTTCCGAAATTTGGCAGCAGTAGACAATTTGTTTTCTATTGCTGGTTAAGAATAACATATGATGTTGCGTGGCTGCAGTAGTGGCTGCGCGATTTTGAAATTCTGAAATTTTAACACTTAAATCTGGAGGGATTTTTGCCAAAACCTGCTGGGTTCCGAAATTTGTTTCTGAGTCTCTGGGATCATGGTCGTTAAGCAGCTTGATCAGGAGCCATAGAGGCCGTTTGTGGGCGGCTACTCGTGGTCTAGTTGGGGAGGAAAGGGCCGACTCCACCCTCATCCCATGAGGCACTGCGTGTCTCGTCACTGCAGGCCCAAACCTGATTGTCCAGTGGCCTCTGGAGGATGGCGGCCACCAGGCCACCAGGGGGAACAGGCCAAGGCACGAAACCTATTCACACCTGGGTTGATGCATTTCTGCCAAAAGCCACTGGGTTTCGAGATTTGTTTCTTAGTCTCTGGGATCATGGCCATTAAACGGCTTGATCAGGAGCCAGAGAGGCCGTTTGTGGGTGGCGACTTGGGGTCTTGTTGGGATGGGGAGGAAAGGCTTTTGATCTCTTGAGATTTATTTATGTGTTTCTGCAATGAGGCCAGTGAAGGAGCTTACAAGGCGATACTGGAGTGGGTTCATGGGGTCACTGCCAGGGCTTTCGAGAGTTTAGAGAAGTGGGGGCAGTAGCCCATCCCAACTCTGAGAAAGCTTAGAGATTTCACTCACAAAACCTGCATATCTGAGTTTTCAGCAACTTAGTTTCTTGGTGAGGTTCATCTTGAGATGATGGGGTCCAGCCAGAACATGGCAGTGATTTGGAATTGTGGGAGCATACAGCAACTAGGGGCTCTGGATGAGCACTGGGCTAGCCTGCCCCCCCTCCCCCATGTGCCCCAGATTATTCAGCCATGTGGAGTCTGAGAAGATCTACTGTATCTTTTTTTTTAATCTCTTCTGAGATTTATTTATGAGTCTCTGAAGCAAGGCCATACAAAATGAGTTTGTATGGCAGAGCTGGAGGTAGTTTGTGGGTGTGGCTCCGTGGTTTAATTTCTCAAGGAAACTTTATCCCCCGAGTTGTTGGAGTCTGGCCAGAGGCATAGCGGCGACTTTGGGGTGTCTGAAAGCCCAAGGGCACCATCAGGCTGCGGATGCTGTCACCTATTGGGTCCAGGTTGACCCGCTGATGGCGTGGTGACCTTTGTGTCCCAGCAGCGATGGCAGCAGTGGCCCCGGCTGAGATCAGGACCAGGACCAGGATGGCTACTGTGCGCAGCTGGCACGCTCTGGACAGGCCACCAGTCCAGCAGAACCTCACCGGGGGCACGCACCCTATCCTCGGGTTTATCTGCAGCCAGTTGGTGCTCAGGGAGATTTTCCTCCATAACATGTTGGGTACAAGATTCTGTGATTCTGTGAGATTCACCTGGGATACTGCAAGTGCTCTGAGCCATAGGAGCAGCAGTGGACGATTTTTAGTCTTTTTTTTTAAATTTTATTTTCATAAGGTTGTTCATATTGATTGATTACATTTAATACGTCAACACCAATCCCACCACCATTGCTCCTTCCCACCACTGTTGCATCTTCCCACTATCATAATTTCAAAATTTCCCACCACCATTCAAGCCTGCCTGTCACAAACAGATTCTAGACAGTTTATTTTCTATTGCTTATTATGAATATCATGAGAGGTTGCGCAGCCGTAAAGCAGCCGCGCACTCCTGGAATTCTAAATATGTAAATGATTGGGATCCAGAGACATCGCTGAGGGAGGTGATCCATTTTGAGATCCATTTGTGAGTCTCTGGACCAAGGCACACTTAAATAGGGCCTGAGCGCAGTTTGTGGGTGTGACAGCCAGGCCCCCGAAGGGACAGGGAGACAGGAAGGGTTGAACTATCTCTGTCTCTGCCGGTGTCTTCAGAGCCTGTTCCCGTGTACCTGGGTTTTTCTTCTGAAAGTTTGTGGCCACCAGGGCTTCCTCTGGGGTGGGTGGAGAGGGGACACCGGCTCTGAGGAACCCCGGTAATGATTTTTAGTTTTGGTGCCGCCTCTGGGCCCAGCGCCAGCACCTGGCTGATTGCAAGTTTCTGGAACCACCCAGCCACCCAAACAGGTTGCACGAGGCAAGAAACCTGGGGCGCCACAGTAGTTGCAGGCGCCAGGTTGGCCTTGAAAAGTGCCTTTTTAAAAGAAACGATATTTACATTCATTCCTGCCAAATGATGCTGTTTCTGTGCCATCACGTGCTGAGAGCCGCTACTGCTCTGCTGGTCCCGGCAGCTGCGTCCCGTCTCCACCTTGACTCTCCTTGTTTTTTTTTAAATAAATTGCTCCATGGTGTTTCATTGTATAAGTATCAAACTGTGTATTCTTTTTTTTTTTTTCCTTTTTGGATCACACCCGGCAATGCCGAGGAGTTACTGCTGGCTTTGCACTCAGGAATCACTTCTGGCAGTGCTCGGGAGACCATATGGAATGCTGGGAATCGAACCCGGGTCGGCGCTTGCAAGGCAAATGCCCTCCCTGCTGTGCTATCGCTCCAGCCCCCCAATTTGGTGATGAATATTTGAGGGGGTTTTTTTCCCCCTTTTAAAGTGAGGTTTTTGGGGAGAGATAGTCCAACGGGTAGAGCACTTGCCTTACAAACAGCCGACCAGGGTTCAGTCCCCAGGGAACAACCCCATTTTGCCCCCTGAGCACCATCAGGAATGATCCTGGAGTGCAGAGCCACGAGTAAGCCCTGAGCACATCCAGTTGGCCCCAAAACCAAAAATTAAAAAAATAAAAAGAGGCTTCAGTGAATATTCATTTGCAAATATTTTGGTTTCCTTAGAGTTCCTCCCTTTGGGCTGTACTTGGTGGTTCTCCGGGGCTACTATCAGTGTGTTCTCAGGTTCACTCCCTCCTGAAAGTGCTTGGGGGACAGGGCGTTCCCAGGGATCAAACTGGCTGGACCTTCTTCCTGCAAAGCAAGTGCTCCAGTTTTCTCTTGCTTGTTTTCCTGACACTTGTTTTGGAGCAATATGTAGGAGTGAGTTTATTGAATTATAAGATAGGTGCATAATTCCGTATCTTGATTAATTGTCAGATTATACCTGCCACATGACAGTGAGCCTTTGGAAGTAGAAGGTACGTGAGGGAAAGGAGCAAGCCAGCCTGTGATGTTGAAATGTCTGAGGGCAGCTTTCTTTCCTTCCTTTGCTTGAACTCATGGCAGGGAAAGCGGAAACGCATCCCTTGGTTTGTTTCTGTGCACGTGGTATCTGATGGCAACACGAGAGTCGGTCTTGGGGCCAGAGAGATATGACAGCGGGGGACGGGGGGGGGTTGCTTGCAGTGCACGCACTGACCTGGATTCGACCCCCGACATCCCATATTGTCCCCTGAGCACTGCCAGGAGTAACGCTTGAGCCTCGTCAAATTTAGCTGAGAAGCTGAAGACACAAATAAAATAAAAAAGGAGGAGAGTCGGTCTTCTAGGAGAGCTCTTGATTTGTCTCTGCTTCCTCCCTCCCTCTCCCAATGGACTATTTTAGAAGAAATGGCGCTGTCACCCACATCAAGATTCAGAACACTGGCGACTACTATGACTTGTACGGAGGGGAGAAGTTTGCCACTCTGGCTGAGTTGGTCCAGTATTACATGGAGCACCACGGGCAGTTAAAGGAGAAGAACGGAGACGTGATCGAGCTCAAGTACCCTCTCAACTGTGCAGACCCTACCTCTGAAAGGTCAGTGGTGCCGGGTGGGGGGGCGGGGCGTGTGAGTGGGTGGCCGATGGGGGGTTTGACTGCTGTTTCTGCCCCTGTGGCGTCGGGGCTTTCCTGAGGCCGCCCAGCAGGTGGGAGTGTTTGGAGTGCTCCCTCCTGCTGTCCTCTCTGCACTGGTGTGTGTGCGCGTTTTTAGAATGCTGAACGGGGCTGGAGTGATAGCACAGCAGGTAGGGCACTTACCTTGCACACGGACGACCTGGGTTCAATTCCCAGCATCCCATATGGTCTCCCGAGCACCGCCAGGAGTGATTCCTGGGTGCAGAGCCAGGAGTAACCCTTGAGCATCGCTCGGTGTGACCCAAAAAGAAAAAAAAAAAGAATGCTGAACCTGGGGGCTGGAGTGATAGCACGGTGGGTAGGGTGTTTGCCTTGCACACGGCCGACCCGGGTTCGATTCCTAGCACCCTGTATGTCCCCTGGGCACTGCCAGGAGTAATTCTTGAGTGCATGAGCCAGGAGTAACCCTTGTGCATCGCCGGGTGTGACCCAAAAGGAAAAAAAAATGCTGAATCTGAGCTGGGGATTTGGACGAGTGAGGAGAGGAGGCAGATGGTAACAGGGGGCACCAGAGTTGCGCCAGTCATTCAGCAGTGCCACCAATAGATGTCAGCTTCAGCTCGGGAGTGGAGAGGCAGCGAGCCCAGACGGCCAGCGCCTTCAGCCGTTCCTTTGTGTTCCATCCACAGATATGTGTGTGACCTTGCTGAGGGGAGCAGGGTTATTCAGCCATCTTCCCCCCGTGCCCCTGAGAGCTGATGAAAGACGGGACTTGACTTTTTGTATTTTGGTTTTGGGGCCACACCCGGCAGTGCTCAGGGCTGACTCCTGACTCTGCACTCAAGGATTGCCCCAGACAGGGCTTGGGGGGGCCATGTGGGGTGAGGCTGGCCGTGTGCAAGGCAGGTGCCCTCCCCGCTGGACTGTCGCTCCAGCCCTGACTCATTTGTGTTGATTTTGTGGGTTTTCTGCGTTGCTGGTCTCCCCTCTCCCCCAGCTCAGTCTTGGGGTCTCAGGAGTCTCTGGATTCGCTCTCTTCATGCCAGTTCTTCATCTTGCACTTCCGTGTCATTGCTCTTCCGAGCTGAGGATTCGTCTCTCCCGTCACAGCTCTAGTTGCCGGCCGCAGAGCTGTCAGCCAGTTCCGCAGAGATTCATTCCAGAATCTCACCTCACGGTGGCGGTGGCTGCCTCAGGCCTCACAGTGTGTTCCTGAAGTGAGGCACACAGCATCGGGCTGCCTGGCTTCCCGACATGTGGAGGGAGAGAGCCCGTTGCGGAGATGGCTCTGTGGGCATGTCTTCTGTTGTCACTCAGAGTCTTGTTGTCCTTGGAGAGCCTGGGTGCAGGCCACTGGTCAGGTGTCGGGAGGCTGGGAGTTCTCATCCTCAGCAGAACCCTTTCCTCCTGCTCCAAGGGCTATTTGCACTAGGGTTTGAAATGAAGGCCCGTGTATGGTCCCAGAACAGTAAACTGGTAAGCTCTCGGTAATGTGGCTGGGAAATGGAGAAATCAGGGAGGCCTGAGTGCATTTATAAGGAAGACGTCCAGACGCACATAGATTTGTGGTCCTGCGGATGAGACCAGCCCTTGTGTGTGTATGCATGGTGCATACCTTACCGCGGAGTTACATCCAGTTCCTGCAGATCTTGTGTTCACCGGGCGGGTGTGGGCAGGCGCGGAGGCGCTTCTCTGCCTCTGCCATGATTCCCTAGATGAGTGTGGCTGAGTGCGCGGCCCTCGAGGGGCAGTGACAGTTTTAAAAGATGGGAGCTTTCAGAGAAAATTAAGGAAAGATTAAAGACCTTTGGGGGCCAGAGAGGTGAAGTACACTGGATTGGGTGTTTACCTGGCACACGCTGGCCCCAGTTCCATCCCCGGCATTCTGTGTATTCCCCTAAGCCAGCCAGGATTGTGCCCTGAACACTGCTGGGAGTGAGTCCTGAGCACTGCTGGGTGTAACAAAAAGAAAAAAAATATTAAGGACATTTGTCTCCCAAGTGTTTGTGGCTTAGATGAGACATTGACTGGTTGTTCTGCCTATCTTTGCCATTTTGTCATTGTTCCTGTTTGGAGACAGATTCTGGCTTGTGGAGAGCTGCTGTTCTGTCTCTTGAAGGAATGTGACTGGTTGCGGGTTTTTTTTTTTTTTTTTTTTTGCTTTTTGGGTCACACCCAGCAGTGCACAGGGGTTACTCCTGGTTCATGCACTCAGGAATCACTCCTGGCAGGGCTCAGGGGACCATATGGGATGCTGGGAATCGAACCTGGTTCGGCCGCGTGCAAGGCAAACACCCTACGTGCTGTGCTATTGCTCTAGCCCCAGGTTGCGTTTTTTAATCTTGGGCAGGGGCATACCCAGTTGTGCTCAGGGTTACTCCTGACTCTGTGCTCAGGGATCACTCCTGGTGGGCTCCGGGGACCATGTGGGATGCTGGGATCAAATCCAGTTCAGCTGTGTGCAAGGCCTGTGCCCTCCCCAGCGATGGCATTGTTACGGCCCAGGGCTTGGACTCTTTCTCTGTCGAGGGCAGCTGAGCAGACGTTTTTGCGGAAGTATATCAGAAACCCCTGTGCCTACTCACCGCCCTTCCGTTTCAAATGTGTAGATGGTTTCACGGACACCTCTCCGGGAAAGAAGCAGAGAAATTACTAACCGAGAAAGGAAAACACGGCAGCTTCCTGGTCCGAGAGAGCCAGAGCCACCCTGGGGACTTTGTCCTCTCCGTGCGGACCGGAGATGACAAAGGAGAGAGCAGCGACGGCAAGTCGAAGGTGACCCACGTCATGATCCGCTGCCAGGTACGGCGGGCCCGGCTGCGCGCGTTCTCTGCCGGGGGAGCAGGTGCCATCCGTGCAGAGCCGGGGCTGTGCTTCCTCGGCCGGCGACTCCTCCATTTCCCATCCATCGTTGACTGCCATGGCTTCGTCCTTTCAGCACTTCACTGAATGATACACCAGAGAAGGAATTTATTCTGGCTCTCTGGGTGCCCGACACCAGCCTCCCACTCTGCCGTTTCGGGCCGTTTAGCCGGTGGGCAGCCTAACTGGGCCTGGTCTCCTGGCCCCCGATGACAGCGCCTGCGTGATGGCTGGGAGAATTGAGCTTTCGGTTTCTGGGCTTTGTTTTTTTTGTCGGGGCCACCCTCACCCTCAGTGCTGGGGGCTACCTAGGGCCGCTACCAGTGATGCTTGCCCTGGGGGTGCCAGCCTGACTTGGGTGTGGGGACCCCAGGTGCAGCCATCAGTACTGAGGGCCCTGCAATGCCAGGGGTGGCGCTTAGTCTTGTCCACGCCAGGCATGTGATCTCCTCCTTTGGCTTTCCCTGCCCACACTGTTCTTGCTTCATTTGGGGACGGGGGAGGCCTCCCCAGCAGAACCCAAGAGACTCTGAGCCCGTCTCGAGAGTCTCAGGCTGTGGGCACCCGAGGACCCAAGGTTGCCGGGCTGCCCAGTGGTGCCAGGACGACACCTTGTGGTGTGGAGGATCAAACTGACGTTGGCCACATGCAAAACTGTGTGTGTGGATGATTCGTGGGAACCTAGGTTAAGGTGATTCTTGGGAACCTGTGTCCCATTTTGTCAGATGCTTTAGAATAGAAACTCTTATTTCACTTTTTGGTTAATTAAAAAAAAAAAAACACAAAAACCTGAGATGTGATTCATATCTCATAACTTTTTCTTTCTAAATGGACAATTTCGTGGATTTCAGTCTCTTTGAGATGAATCCGGCGGAGTTTCTGTTTTACCCACGACAGTGTGTGTCAGTACAGTATTGTCAGATAGTCCGTTTTTTGCCACATTTTCTCTCGCCAGAAACTTGTTTTGTGGGTCTTTGAGTGGCCCTGTGGCCTCTCTGCAGCCCTCGGCCTGGCCCCGTGCCTGGGCGTCAGTGTCCGGGCCTGGACAGTGCAGGGCCACCATTGGGGCCAGCCCTTGCCGCCCTCAATGCCCGGTGCCCGGTGTCCAACCCTGTGAGTGAGCGCTCTCCTCTGTTGCTGCTTTAAGATTTTGTCTTTCAATCCCTGCAAATGGCCGGAGAGGTGGGGCGGATGGCTCAAAGGGCCAGCGTCTGCTTTGGGTGGATTGAGTCCCAGGCGTGACCCCTGGCACTGATATCTGCTGGGTACTACCAGCAGTGAACCCTGAGAGTAACCCCTGAGCACTACCAGGAGGGGTGGTGAGATGGTCCAGAGGCCAGCAGGGATGAGCTTTGCCTGTGCGAGCCCTGCTCCCTCGCAGGCACCGCCTGGCCCTCCTGCCCAAGCCACCAGTCTGGATGGTTTCTCCAAGTCTCCCCAGGACCCCTGGAGCAACAGAGGTCCAACTGCTGTGAGCTGTGCTGCCCCACGTGTGTGTGAGCACTCTTCCGTGAGTCTCGGTGGCTGACATGTTACTCTCGTGTTTTCTTTCAGCCGTGAAACACTTCCCGGGCTCTGAACACCACGAAGAGCCCAGGGCAAGGCTTAGGTTTTCTCAAGGAGGTTTCTGGGGAGTCCTTGGCCGTTCTTGTCTCTTTCTGTGATTCAGGAAGTGGGGCACAAAGGCATTCTGGCCCTCGGGAAAACCGAGCCTGACGTTGCTGCCCGTTGTCTCTGTGGTTGTCTGCCTGCCCAGTGACTGTCCTGGCTCCTTGTCACACGCCTCTGCTGAAGCTGACTTGGCGTCACTTAACAGTTGCACAGAGATTTCCTTAAGAGCCCTGAGCCACCGGCTCGGTCGCCCTGGGTGCCCGGGCTTCGCTTAGCCCTCCACCCGGCAGGAGCCCCTGGACTTCTTCAGTGTTGGGTCCATCTGGTAGCCTTCAGCTGCCTCAGGCAACGTGTGTTCATAGATAGTTGCTGAGGGTGTAAGGGTGTAAGTCAGGCCCCACAGCGCCAGCTGGGAAAAGGCGCTTTCCCGGGATCTGCAGAGCAGGCCAAATGCCGAGACCTCCCTGGGGGTCTTTGGAGGGCTCACCCTGCTTGCTGCTGTGGCATCAGGCTGGGGGACTGAGGAGCTGGTGGGGAGAGGGACGAGGAGAGAGAGGACACGGAGAGAGCTGGCCTGGCACGCTACTGGTGTGGGTTCTAGTCCAGGCACCCCGGATGGTCCCCAGGTATCTGAGTGCAGAGCCAGGGGTAAGCCCCGAGCACCGCTGGAAGGGCCTCAAAACCAAAAAAATAAAAGGCCCCAGCTTGGGGCTGGGGAGAGGTCAGGAGTCAGTGGCAGGGGCCTGGCCCTGAATTCCATCCCCTGGTGCCACCAGGTGTGTGTTACCCTGTGGGTCTGGAGCGCTGCTGGGGCCTGCTGGACTGAGTGTCCGTGGATTATAAACGTAGCTTTTTTTTTTCTTGAAAGGAACTGAAGTATGATGTCGGTGGAGGAGAACGCTTTGACTCTTTGACAGACCTCGTGGAGCATTACAAGAAGAACCCCATGGTAGAAACGCTGGGCACGGTACTGCAGCTCAAGCAGGTGAGCAGACTGGGGCACTGCAGCTTATCGCCTGGAGCGCTTTAAATAGTGGGTGATTACTCAGAGCAGCTTCGGGAGCCGCATTGGCCGTCACAGCCGGTCTTGGTTCACTCAGGCCTTCACTCACCACTCCCCTTGGCTGTATTTGGAATCAGATTCCAGAGACTGCATCATCTCCACATCTGCCCCTAAATGACCTTGCAGGATTTTTTGCGCACGTGTGTGTGTGTGCACGCTCGCGTGTGTGTGCGTGCGTGTGTGTGTGCGTGCACGCGCGTGTTCACATGTGTACGTGTGTGCATGTATGTGCAATGCCGGAAATTGAAGCCAGGGCCTTGCGTGCCAGGCAAGTGGGCTAGTGCTGTACCTAGTCCCCAATTTAGAGAACTTTCAAAGCAAGTCCTCACCAAGTTTTATTTTCATTGTAGAGCTACCTTTATTTTTTTTAAATTTATTTTTAACTTTATTTATGTATTTATTTTTTGCTTTTTGGGTCACACCCAGCAATGCTCAGGGGTTACTCCTGGCTTTGCACTCAGGAATTACTCCTGGCCGTGCTCGGGGGACCATATGGGATGCCAGGGATTGAACCTGGGTCGGCCGCATGCAAGGCAAACGCCCTACCCGCTGTGTTATTGCTCCAGCCCCTGTAGAGCTACCTTTAGATTTTACCTTTAGGAGATCTCATATATTCACTTTGGACTTCCAGCTATTTCCGAGCTCACTCTTGTTACTGAGTGGCACATGATGCCCTTTGTCTAAATAACGGTAGCCTAATAATAATAAAGGAGGAGGTTTGAATTTCTATTTGCTGAGTACAGTGTGTGTAGATAGAAGTGATACATTTCCTGACCAGACAGAAGAGAAAGTGAAACTGTATTTGGAAACTTCCACTGTGATTTACTGTGTCCTGCCAGCTTCCTGTCCTTGCCTTCTGAAGACCAACACAGGAATCTGTTTTTATCTTAGCATTAACACTTCTTTCCATAATACTTTCTTCATTTCACACCAACGCTGAATTAGCCCCTCAACACCACCCGGATCAATGCTGCTGAAATCGAAAGCCGGGTTCGAGAGCTAAGCAAGTTAGCTGAGACCACGGACAAAGTCAAGCAAGGCTTTTGGGAAGAATTTGAGGTAAGTTATTGAAAAAATCTTTTTCTTTTACACGCATTATAAATCCTTTATTTTTAAAATTGTATTTAAAAATTCAGTATTTTAATTGAGATACACCCACGAGCGTTTCAAAGTTGTTCATGGTTGAGTCTCTGTCATACGATGTTCTGACACCCATTCCTTTACCAGTGCGCATCAAATCCTAATTTTCACAGAAGAGAAGTTGGTTTTGTGTTTGGAATTGGATCAGGAAGGCTGAAATCCATGTCCTTTCTTAATCTGGCCATTGACGGACACAAAACAAGTTGTGAGGGAGCCTCATGGAAGCCGAAGGGTCTGTATTCTGGGGGAGGGAGTTGGTAGTTGAGGTCACGTGGACATGCCAGCATGCTCTTGTGGTTTGGACTGCTGGAGACAGCCTAGAAAAACACTGGGATCTAAGCCTTTGGAAGCATTCCACCATTGGCTATGGGTCCCTGGCATCTGCTTCCTGTCGCGGTAATTAAAGGCACCTCATGGTTCCTTTGCTTTGGGAGTTGAAATTTACAACTCTGGGAAGTTAAGTGAAGGAATTTCGGAAACCAGCTGGAGCAGGGGGATGTTTCAAAGCTGTGTTCCGTCGCAGGCTGGCGGGTTGCTGAAATCCCCCCGGAATCTCACTTGTCCTCAGACCCAGGGCTCCCTGTTCGCCATCTCCGTCATCGCTCGCGTGGAGCATAGAACAGTGCCTGGGCACCCGCAGACTCTTGCATATCTGCTTTGAAGGAGTTTTAACATTTAGCTGATGTGAGGGCCGGAGCAATAGTACAGTGCTTAGGGCACTTACCCTACACGTAGTCGACCCAGGTTCGATCCCTGGCACCTGGTACGTTCCCCTGAACACCTCCACGAGTAATTCCTGAACTCAGAGCCAGGGGTCTGCCCTGAACATCACTGGGTGTGGCCCCAAAATAGAAAAAAACAAACGTTTAGCCAATGTTTATGTCATTTTGTTACTTCCATTCTGTTTGTGGGAATGATTCTTCCTCCTTCCCTCCTTCTCTCTTCCTCTCTCTCTCAGTTCTGGGGATCAAACTCAGAGACTCACCCACCCAAGTCCCGCAAGTTCTCTGCCTGAGCATATCCCTGGCCTGATGGGTTATATACTGTGTGTCGGACTTTAAAGCTTACAGGAATGTGGGCCAGACAGTACAGAGGGTAAGACGCTTGCCTTGGCACGTGTCCGGCCCAGGTTCGATCCCCGGCATCCCATATGATCCTCGGAGCATCACCAGGAGTGATCCCAGAGTGCAGAGCCAGGAGTAATCCTTGAGCATTGCCAGGTGTGGCCCAAAGACCAGGGTGTGGGGGGTGGGAGGAACCGAGCAAATGGGCAAATGCCGTCCCTTGAGGTGGACTGATGGGCCCCATCAGATCCACTTGGTGAGACAGGTGCTATTTTGCTTTGCTGATGAGCCTGCCGCTATGGGTTAAGTACACTGTCCAGTCTCGACACCCCCAGTGCTGATCGGTGGGCACTGGGAGTGGGTGGAACAGTGCCCTCAGAGTCCCGAAGGGCTGGGAACTGAGACAGAGTCAGCGTGCCATAGGCCCTGGGATGCTGAGGAAGATGAATTGGGGCGCTCGGGCGCTTCGGGGGGAGAGGGCAGACGGGCTGGAAAGCATCACAGACACTGAAGCTCAGCGTGATGAGTCGGGATTTGAGAATCCAGGGCTCACTGCTCGCTTCACTCTCTCCCGCTGGCCCTGATAATAGAAGGCGGCATCTCAGTCTTCATTTAATTACATTCGCTGCTTCTCATTCATTTCATTTAATCTTCATAAAGCCTCATGAGATACGGTGGATAAGTACTGACGGTTTAGAAACCTTACATCAAAATTTGAATGAAAAACCTCTTTCATTATGTGAGATTTTAAATATATGCAGGCGCAGAAGGGAGCGCCTCGCAGTGGGGCCCCTCACGGGGATTGGCCGGTGACACTCGGCCCTCGCTCCCCCACTCACTCCCGCAGCCCTGGCTTCTCCCAAGCAGATCCCAGGGTCATTTCATCTGTAACAATTCCATTAAAAAAGAATCACTGGGGCTGGAGCAATAGCACAGTGGGTAGGGCATTTGCCTTGCACGCGGCCAACCCGGGTTCGATTCCCAGCATCCCATATGGTCCCTTGAGCACCGCCAGGGGTGATTCCTGAGCGCAGAGCCAGGAGTAACCCCTGTGCATTGCCAGGTGTGACCCAAAAAAAGCCAAAAAAAAAAAGTATGACCTAAGTGCCACCCTCACACCTGAAAGCACTCACAGGCCCTCGGCAGAACACACGCCAGTCGCTTTTCAGCTTCCTTTTTGCCATGGACACACTCTTGAATGGGAGGTACTTATGCCACTTAAATATTAAAAAATTTTGAAAATATAGAAATTGGATTTTGTTTTGGGGGAGGGTCACACCCAGTAGTGCTCAGGACTTACCCCTGGACCTGTGCTCAGGGATCGGGCCTGGTGGGACTCGAGGAACCATATGGGGTGCCGGGGACTGAAGCAGGGTTGACTGCATGTAAGGCAAATGCCCTCCCCACAGGACTCTCTCTGGCCTGAAAATAGGTTTTTTTGAAGTTATCTCAGATAATCCTATTTTGTTGGTAAATAAATACTTGAGTATTTATGGAATTCTTTTTGTTTTTGGGGTCCACGCTTGGTGGTGCTCAGAGCTTAGTCCTGTGCTCAGGGATCACTCCTGGTGCGGCTCAGGGGACCTTAGAGGATCCCGGAGACCAAAGCTGGGTTGGCCTCGTGCAGGCGAGTACCCTCCCCGCTGTCCAACCCCCATTTCCGTTCTGTTTTAGACAAACAGCAGCACAGTCTTAACTCCTTTTCCCGACCTTGCTTTATTGCTGTTGTTGAGGCTCCAGGGACCCCCCTACCCCCAGCTTGTGGGGGGGGGCAGGGCCTCATCCAAGCAGGCTGGTGCCCTGCTCATCATAGCCTTGTCGTGCTGCTTTTTCCGTGTCCCGGCAGTCATGCCAGAGGCGTTTCTTCATTGCTTGTCTTTGTTTTGGGGTCTTTACCCAGCAGTGCTCAGCAGTGACTCCTGGCTCTGTGCTCAGGGATCACGCTTGGCAGGCTCGGGAAATAAATAGGGTCAGGGATTGAGCCCGGTCAGCCGTGTGCAGGCAAGCACTCTGCCTGCCCGACCATCTCTCGGGCCTCGCTTCATTCATCTCCAGCGCCCGACTGTTGTGTGGGTGGGCTGTAGCTTATTCTGACCACGGAGGGGCCTTTGGAAACGATGCCGAGGCTCACCCAGGGGACACAGTGGGTGCTTTGTGTGTGCAGCTCTGTTTCTGCCGACTCCTGCCGATGCTAGCCTGCTCTCTGCCTGTGTTCTAAAAATCATTGTCATCACGCTTCTCTGATATTTCTTATGCATCGTGCATGGTTTTGGTTAGCATAATTAGAATCTGCCAGATTGCTGGGTCCTCTTGTTGTTATTGTTACGGGGCCACATCAGGCGATGCTCAGGGCTTCCTCCTGGCTCTGCACTCTGGAATCACTGCCGGCGGTGCTTGGAGGACCATGTGGGATGCTGGGGATCAAACGCAGGTCAGCTGTGCACAAGGCAAATGCCCTTCCCGCTGGACTCTCTGGCCCAGCTGTTTCTGATGTTGAGCCTCTTAGGTTCAGAGCCAAAGTATCAGAGCCAGAAGGCCACTCTGTGACCTGGGCCCATGGTAGCTAGGTGGCAAGACCCTCTCTCCCGAGGACGACTGTTAAGCTTTCAAAAGCGGGCACGGTCTGAAGGCGGGTACACGAGTGGTGGGTTTCATGGCTTCCTGTATTCGCTCGGGGCCGTGTGACGGGAAGCTTGGCACCCGGCTCAGTGGGCTGGCGGCATCGCGTTTCTCAGGGTCCATTTGGTGGCATCGGGTTGGTAGTGTCCAAGGCCAGTCCCTTAGCCTGGAAGTGTCTTGCTGACTCTGGACATGGCTGTCCCGCCCGCCAGACTATGCTCGCGTTGTCCCCTTCCACATGTCATCGTCCCTCCCCACTCTGTCTTCTCAGGGGACGCGTCCTGATCCCTCTTTCCTGTCTGGATTCTGGATTGTCTTTTCCTGTGAATTGTGCATAGCGAATCCTTACCTTTCTCGTCCTCACTATCCTTGGAACCTGTGGCTAATCTGTGTTGTGTGTGTGGGGGGGAGGGTGGTCAGCGTCTGTCCAGAGGCCTTCACATGGAGTCTGCTGGGTGGCAGAGAGGTGCAGAGCTGACGGCTGCAGAGTGGAAACCCTTGAACCCTGGTCTTCCATCTGCTGTGTGCGTTTCCCCTAAGAACAGAACCCGGACCCCCTGGGCAGCCCCGGGACCCACGTGAGCTGGACGCTCTTCTGCTTTCCAGGGCGAGAGCGGCCCATTAGCGCCAGGCCCCGCGGACTCTCCCCAGAGAGCGGCTCTCTGCAGAGCGTGGGGGAATGTTCCAGGCCTTGCTGGTGCTGTTTGTCCTCATCTCCCCGCAGTGTTTCATTCAGCTCAGCAGTGACTCCTGGCTCTGTGCTAGTCTCTGAGGGACCCCCGCCCCCCGCCACACCTGCCCCAGGGGGTGCGCTCATAATACTCCAGGAGAATTCTAGTTTTGAATCCTCTGTTTCTGATTTTCTTTATTAATTTTGGCTTTGGGGGTCACACCCACTGTTGCTCGGGGGTTCCTCCTGGCTCTGCACTCAGGAACTTTCCCCCTGGCGGTGCTCGGGGAACTAACTGGAAGGTCAGGGGTCAAACCCCAGTCGGCCATGTGCAAGGCAAACGCTTTCCCCGCTGGACTGTTTTCTGGCCCTCGTTTCTGATTCTAAAGCGTTCCACAGTCCACGTGCAGATGTGGAGTTAGACCCCCACGTCCCTTCCTCCTGCACCGGGGCTCGCCTCCCCCGCCCTTTCCAGCTGCTTTCTGCTCCCACTTGGTTTTCCTTTCCCCAGCCCAGCCTCCACCTCCTGGTCTGAAGCTGGCCTCGCAGTGGTTGCAGGGACAGCGCCCGCGTGGCCTGGATCCTGCCGGCAGCTCTGCGGGCCCGTGTGTCCCTGGGCGGAGCTGGTGTCTGTCCCCGAGCCCACGGTCTAGTTTGATATCTTTTTTTTTCCTCTTGGAAAGTGATTACATCCTGCTCGGGGGAGCTATAAATTCTCCTTGGCGATGGTTGGGTTTTATGGCAACAAGGCTTTAACTGCACCCCAAAGCTGTGTCTGGAATAATAATTCTCGCCGATGAGCTCTAGTGGAAAGCTTCCCCCTCGTGACTAAGCAATGCCACGCCGAACAACAGCCCCCGGCCTGTGCTGGGGCCGAGCTGTGACCTGCGTCTCCATCGCGCCCCGGCCCTGGTGGCTGCCAAGAGCTGCGCCTGCCTGAGGACACAGAGACCCACAGAGACCAGCCAGGCTCGCTCTCCTCCCTTCCCTCCCCTCTCCCCCTCCTCTCTCCCTCTCCTCGCTCTTCTCTGCCTCGTCTCCTCCCCCTCTTCCTCTTCTCTTTCTGCTTCCTCTCGCTCCCTTTTCTCTCCCCCTTCTCTCCCTCCCTTCCTTTCTTCTTTCCCTCCCTCTTTTTCTCTTCTCTTCCTCCCTTTCTCCGCTCTTTCTCCCTCCCCCGCTCCTCTCTCTCCCTCTTCTCTCTTCTCTCTCCTCTGCCTCCTCCTCCCTCCTGTTTCTCTCTCCCTTCCTTCTCCTCTCCTCTCTCTCTTCCTCCCTTCCTCTCATCGCCTTCCCTCTCTCCTTTTCTTTCTCTTCTTCCCTCCCTCTCCTCTCTTCCTCCCCCTCTCCGTATCTCCGTATCTTCCCTTTGCTTTCTCTCTCTCTCTCTCTCTCTCTCTCTCTCTCTCTCTCTCGTTCGTTCTCTGGAGCTGCTCCTCTGAGCTGGGGCTGGAGCCCCCTGCAGGACAGGCTCCGCCCCCCACAGCCGCCCTCCTGGTGCCTCACACTGTGGTCGGGTAGCTTTCTCTTCAGTTCACTTTCTTAGTGAACACAGCCATTATTCTAGCTTGACCCTCCCTGGATTCTGGGCTTGGCTTTGTCTTCTTTGATAATTTTGTTTTGTTCTGTTTGTTTTTGGCCCTGTCCTGGCAGTTCTCCTGGCTGGGCTGATTCCTGGTGCTCTGGGGCCCCTGTGGAGCTGGGTGCAAACTCTGCCTCCTGCCTGGCCGCTTGGGTTGGCCGGGATCGAACTTGGGCTGGCTGTGTGGAAGGCCAGCACCTGCCCGCCGTAGTACTTCTCGGTCTCTGCAATTGGTTTTTCTACTGAAACCGCTCTGTCCCCCAGGGCTTTCTGAGTGCTTCCCAGTCAGCTGGGCCCTGCTCTGCCCGTGCACCCCCTGCCCCTTGCTCCTTTCTGGGGCAGGCTGCCCCTGGTGCCCAGAGAGCCCCTGAGAGCCCGACCCACCCGCTGTGGTGCCAGGTCCTTCTGCCGCCTTTGCAGATATTTGCTACGTCCTTTGGGCTAGGACATGGAGGAGGGAAAGGTTCTGCACAGGGGCTGGAGGCCGGGCTCTGGGCACTGCCGAGGGGGCTGGCTAGCAACCCTTCACTCCCACTGCCGCTGTCTTCTCCCCTGCATGAGTTGGCGGGGGGCACGCCCAGTGATGCTCAGGGATCACTCCAGGTGATGCCTGGAACATGTGCGGTGCCGGGGATCGAACCTGGGCTTGCTGCACGCAAGACAGATGCCCTCCCTGCTGTGCCATCGCTCCAGTCCTCGTCATTCCCGCTATCAAATGAAGCTGCTGCCTTGCTCTGCATGGGGGCAGCCTTGCACCGTGGGGGCTTCAGTGACTGGGACCCAGGCACGGGGGAGGGCTGGTGGGAGGGCGGGTGGGATGTGCCTTTGTCCTTGCTCTGCCCCCTGCCCTCCAAGTGACGGTCTCAGGAGCAGGACTTGAGCGCCTTCCCCGCAACTTGGCTTCGAACAAGCAGTTGAGTCAGTTCTCGCATCGCCCCTGACCCTTGGTCGCTTTCGTAGCTGTTCTGCGCCCCGTGCCGGGGCCGGGGCCCGGTCCCAGGCCTCCTGGCAGTAGAGCGGCTCTCTCTGGGGCTGCATTCCTGGCGCGGTCCAGCTGGTCCGCAGATGATGGATGCCGTCCGCGATGCTTGTGCCTCTTTAAACACTCCCCTCGCGGGATCGCTCTGAAAATCAGCAGGAACCTTCCCAGCTGCACGGGGCTCAGTGAGACACTCACTTCCCAGCAGATGCTGGAGTGTAGACAGCCGATGGCTCCAGTGACTTAATCTGAGCTCATCCGGGCCTCGGGGAGGGAGTTTCCATCACCAGCCCAGAGAATCTGCCTGTTTCATCTCAGGGCACACGCTCATCAGGCCCATCAGGAGTTGTCTGTCTGGACAGAAGCTGGAGCTTGAATAGTGCATTTGAGACTGAGAGGCAAGGAAGCGGTTTCTGCTCCTTACTTTCACCCCTGCCTGAAACTCACGGCAGCAAAATACAGGCCTGAAGGGCCTCTGGGAGGAAATATTGACCGTCTCTGTCCTTGAAAAAATATTGAAGGGCTGGAACAGTAGTACAGCAAGCAGGGCACTCTGCTTGCACGCGGCCAACCCAGATTCAGCTCCTGGCACCCCAGGTGGTCCCCCAAGGATCTCCAGGAGTGATTCCTGAGTGTAGAGCCAGTAGTAACCCCTGAGCATCACCGATGTGACCCTACCACCGCTCACCCACCAAAAAACAAAAAGAAAACATTTTTAAGGGGTAACAACATTGGTATTCATATATATACGTATATATGTACACATATATACATATTTATAAAGCAAACTTTAAAATCTGTCTTTCACTTTCTTGATGTGTTCAATTGTAGTTTCTTTCTTGGTAGACTTATTGGGCCTGAGAGATAGCTTATGGACTCAAGGCCTTGGCACCCACGGTACCCCAAGATGTGACAACCCCCCCCCCCCCCCCCCGTTCAAAATAGATATAAATTAGTGAATGAAATCTCAGCTGCATGGGCCAGGGTCTGACCCAGCAGTAGGGCTCTTGCACGGCATGCGTTAAGGGCCTGGGTGGCTCCCAGCCCCAGCCCTGATGTTCCATCCTCACCCTCACCCTCAGCACTCTGGGTGTGTTTGAAGCTTGTGGTTCCTTGAAGTGGCACTTGTCATTTTGGTTGTTTGTTTGGGGCCACACCCGGCAGTGCTCAGGGCTTACTCCTGGTGCTGCACTCGGGAATCACTCCCAGCGGTGCTCGGGGAAACTGCACGGCGTGCCCAGGATTGAACCTGGCTCAGCTGCGTGCCCTCCCCGCTGTCCTGTCGCTGTGGTCTGGCCCTTACCTTTTTGAGAAGGGACATGACCCCTGAAACGGCTTCCTCCTGGCTGGTCCGCATTCCTGGTGCAGCCGCTCTTTCCCTCTGAGCCCCGTCCCCGCTTCCTCTCCCTGACGCGCCTTCCCACCGGACCCTCTTGCTCCGTGTGCACTGAGGCACGGATGCAAACAAGAGGCCTTTAGGGTCTGGCTAACAGCCGTGGTCATGAGCCTGCAAGACCATGTCTCTCCACGTGTGAGACCTGACCTCCCACAGCGAGTGGCAGATAAAGAATCTCACGGGACGGCAGGTCCGACCTCTGCTCGGGTCCTGCACACACCAGCACACCAACACTCATCCGCAGTTTGTCTTAGCGGGGGTGCTAACCTGGAGGTGCTCAGGACTTACTCCTGGTCTGTGCTCCAGGGTCACACCTGGTGGGCTCCAAGGACTGTATGAGGTGCTGGGCATTGAACCCAGGTCAGCAGCATGCAAGGCAAGGGCCCTGCGTGCAGTGCTCTCTCTCTGGGCCCCGGCCTCATTCTCATTTACTATTCTAAAGGGCTTCTCATAACTACTTCCCTATAAATATATGGGGGAGAAGAGAAGGATGACAAGAAGAAAGATGCAGAGACCTTCCTTGGCGGAGATCCCCCTTCCTTCGTGGGCATCCTTCTTTCCCCATTTCTAGTGCCTGGTCCAGCCTCACCCAACATGAGCCATCCATTCTTAGAAACGGACATGGAAGCAGAAGGTCCTTGCATGGCAGAGATTTGCTTGACTTTGATCAGGGTTTTTTTTTTTTTTCTTGTTACCATTACAAAAAAACACCACTTTGTACCCACCTCACCATCATTATAAAGAAACACGGGCCAGAACATCATTCAGGGACCTGCTGTGCCTGAGGAATTGCAGACCTGAGCATCTCGGGATGCTCCAGATGTTTTGCCCTCTTTTCCCTTCCCCCCAGCTCTGAGCCTCTTCCTGAGGTGTCAGGCCGCCTCCCGGAACGTGGCTGTGGAATGTTCTCTCGCTGACGTGAGCGGTGGTGTGCGGGGGGGGGGGCCTGTTCTGTTGCCAGTGGGTCGTTCCGGAGTCTCCACTGCCTGGTGCCAGGCATCAATGGGAGTGCGTCCCCCGTGGCACTTCCGGGGGCAAAGTCCTGACAGCGGAAGTGCTACGAAATCAGGCTTTGGGGTGCCACTTCTGATGCATGACATTCCTTCCTTTTCCCTCTAGACGCTACAACAGCAGGAGTGCAAACTTCTCTACAGCCGAAAAGAAGGTCAGAGGCAAGAAAACAAGAACAAAAACAGATACAAGAACATCCTGCCCTGTGAGTGTCCCCGTGAACTCGTGAACTCGGAGGTTTTGGGTTTTGTTTGTTGCTGTTGTTGTTTTTACTTTCTGGTTCACACCCGGCGATGCTCAGGGTTTCCTGGCACTCAGGAATTTCTCCTGGTGTGCCTGGGGGACCATGTGGGATGCTGGGGATCAAACCCGGGTCAGCCACATGCAAGGCAAACACTCTCCCTGCTGTACTATTGCTTCGGCCCGTTTTATTTTTCTTTAAAATTTTTTGAATACCATAAGTTTTTAATTGACTCACCATGAGATACAAGGTTGTTCTTGATTGGGTTTCAGTCATACAGTGTTCCAACACCCGTCCCTTCACTGGTGGACATTTCCCACCACCAATGTACTTGAGAGATTTTTGGATTCTCACTCTCCCTGAGGGCTGGGCACCCTTTTCTGCCCCTCGAAGCCTTCCTGAACCTCTCTGAATTGTGACCAGGTTCAGCAGGTTCCAGTATTTCAGCAAAATCAGCTTGTGCAGCCCACTGAATGATTTGGCCCCTTCCCCAGTCTCTGAGAGGCCGTTATCCCCCCACCCCCCTTTATTTTGTATGTATGTTGAGGGGAGGAGAAAGCACACATATCTGATCAGGGCTCAGTCCTGGCTCTGGCTCAGGAGTGACTCCTGGAGGGACCTCGGGTCAGCCAGGTGCCAGACAAGCGCCCTCCCCGCGGTCCTGTCACTCCAGGACTCAAGTGACAAAGGGACGGGGACTCTCTCTTCCAGTTGACCACACCAGAGTCGTTCTCCATGACGGCGATCCCAATGAACCCGTCTCGGATTACATCAACGCCAACATCATCATGGTAAATGGTCTCGCCCGGCCTTGCAAGACCCCGCAGCGCTTCTCCGTTTCTGTCTGCCAGCTCTTTTCCTTGTGTCCCAGAAGCAAGTTCCCAATGAGTGAAGGCTTTTTCTTCCTAAATTTCTAGCCTGAATTCGAAACCAAGTGCAACAACTCAAAGCCCAAAAAAAGCTACATTGCTACGCAAGGCTGCCTGCAGAACACCGTGAACGACTTCTGGCGGATGGTGTTCCAGGAGAACTCCAGGGTCATCGTTATGACGACGAAGGAAGTTGAGCGAGGAAAGGTATCCTGATGCTCCTGGTCCCCAGGGCTGGGACTAGGCGAGAACAGGCTCCTGGGGCCAACAAGCTGCCCCTCTGGGAGCGCAGGCGGGAGGGGGACATTGGGCGTGACGCACCTTGATTAAAGGCCCCCTATGTCCCCACCCCCCGCCCACTTCATTTATCAACGAAGGAAGTTAGAAATTAACTTTTGGGAAATTCCTGGCCAGCCAGCTTCCGTGCCAGTTCCGGTCATCTGTGCGGTGGATTCTGCCTCCTTTTATTTTGCCCAGGACCCGCCAGGCTCCTGGGGGAGAGGAGGAGGTCGGGAGGAGCCTGCACCCCACCTGGGGCCAGTCCTTTCCCCACCCTCAGAGCCGCTGCCTCACGCTGGATGAATTTATTTTATTTTTGCGTTTGGGGGGGTCACACCTGGCGGCGCTCAGGGCTTCCTCCAGGCTCTGGGCTCAGGGATCACTCCTGGTGGTGGTGGAGATTTTACCCAGGTCAGCCGCATGCAAGGCAAGCACCATGGTACTGTCTCGCTGGCCCACTTTAGAAGAAGAATTTTATTTGTTTTGTTTGTTTTTTGTGTGTGTGTGTGTGTGTGTGAGGGGGCAGGATATCTTTGGGTCACATCCTGGCTCTGCACTCGTATCACTCCTGGAGAGCTTGGGGGACCACCTGGGGTGCTGGGGATTGAACCTGGGTCGACCTCGTGCAAGGCACAACCCCTACCTGCTGCACTATTGTTCTGGCCCAGTGGCTGAATCTTAACTGACTAAAACAAACCTGCACTTGCTGCATTGTTTCTTCTGCCCCAACAAACACCAACGATGACAACAAACAAACCTCTCTGTGCCGTGGATTGCTCTCCAGGGGGAACTGGGGGCAGCCTGGGTATCCCGAATTTGTCTGTCACAGACACTTCCCAAGCACACCTGGCTTTTCAAAAGCAGCTGCAGGTTTTTTTGGGTTTGTTTTCTGAAACAGCCAACAAAAAACTGTCACTGAACGCTTTCCTGACTGCACAATTCCTTATGGGAACTTGTTCTGAGAGGGGAGATTCTTCCTCTGGCATCATTGGGGGGGGGGGGGGCGTGCAGTGCCACATAGAAGGCCCGCAGATATTCTCAGGCGACTGGGCAAGTTCAGATGTCTGAGGACGGACGGGGAGTGGGACCGAGCCCTCCAGTCTTTTATTTTTTAAATTTTTAAAAAATTTTTATTTATTTTTTTGCACAGGGGTTACTCCTGGCTCTGCACTCAGAATTACTCCTGGTGGTGCTCAGGGGACCCTGTGGGATGCTTGCTGGGAATCGAACCCGGGTTGGCCGCATACAAGGCAAATGCTCTACCTGCTGTGCTATTGCTCCAGCCCCCAAACCCTCCAGTCTTGCTCTTACAGATTTTCTTTCTGCTTGATCCTGGGGAGCAAGCCAGGGCTTCCCTCAGCTGCCACATGCCCTCTCCCAGTGGGTATGAGGGAGACCCTGGGACTGGCCGTAGGGGCCTGGAGACCGAGAGGAAGAGGGCTTGTCCCTTCCACAGAATCACTTAGTCCCTCCCGCAGGAGCTGCCGACATCAGCGTAACCCTCTGTGCCCCGTCGTAGCCCGCTCCTTATTATCTTTACCGGCCGGCAGGCATGTGTGTCCAGTTGCCCTCTTGTGGGCCCCAGGCGGTGGCCCCTGGCCCACTCTGGAACCCCCTGGTTCCCGGGTGGGAAATTGAAGCTACCGTGTTGGCTCGCGTGTTGCCTTCGCTTCCAAGGCTCAGGGCAGCGGCGGCTGAGCCGGCGACTGGCCGCTGGGCAGTGGTTAGAGCTGGGATTTAAGGCTCGGCCCTCACAGTCGCTTGGCTAGGAGTGGCAGCGAGTGCCATGAATACTACGAGCGTTTATTTGAGGGAAGATCAAAACCGGATTGAGGGTTTTAGAGCCACAGACGGAGGCGGGAGCATCCCGAGTCCCAGGGGGTGTGGCCCCAAGCAGTTGGTCTTCGTGGTGTGTGTGTCCCGTGAGGACTCATCGCTGGTGGCCGCTCGCCACAGCTGCCCTCTCTTGAGCCTTAGAACCGCCAGTTTCCTGCGTAATGAAGCTCTGAGGCAGGGCTAGGGCCATAGCACCCTGGGGAGGGCGCTTGCCTTGCACACGGCTGCCCCGGGTTGGATCCCCGGCATCCCATATGATGGTGTCCCCAAGCCCCGCCAGGAGTGGTCTCTGAGTGCAGAGCCAGGAGTAGCCCCTGAGCACTGCCGGCGGGGCCCAAGAATAAATCTACTAACAATGCACCAAGTTCGGTTCCTTGGCTGGGGCTTGTGTGCAGGAGCCACCCAGCCTGTCAGAGGACAGTCACCTGATAGCCTTGTACTGTGGCCAGCGGCTCCCACGGGCGTGGCGCTCAGGGTGCCCTGTGAGGGGGAGGCGGCCGGCCCGAGCCCCCAGGCCGCCTGTGTGGCGAGTCCTTCAGGAGATGCACCGGACAGTCTGACTCTCTGGGCAGCCCCCTTCCTCCCGAATTCCCCAGTGCTCAGAGGCTGCGAGGCAGCAGCCCCCAGCTGCCCCACCCCTTCCCTGTGGGTCTCAGACCTGTGGCTGGGGGCAGGTGAGTCTCCTGCACCCCCTCCCAGCCCGGCTTGCCTCTTCCCATTTGCGCGGGGCGCGGGCAGGCAGGGTGTGGGCATCGCTCCCTGCCCTCTGCAGAGCTGGACCCATCCCCCCGGTCCCTTCCAGAGTAAATGCGTCAAGTACTGGCCGGACGAGTACGCTCTGAAGGAGTACGGCGTCATGCGCGTGCGGAACGTCAAGGAGAGCGCCGCCCATGACTACACGCTGCGGGAGCTGAAGCTCTCCAAGGTCGGGCAAGTAAGTATATCGTCGGACTCGACTAGGGGTGATGGGAGCACAGCAGAGCACGGCCAGGCCCCAGGCGGAGCGACACTGAGGGAGTGTCCTAAGCATGGCCCTGTCCAAGGAGCAGTGCGCGCAGGGCCTGCTGGTGGTCAATTCCTGCTGGTGGTCAGTTTCCACCACCGCCAGCTCTCACCCTGCTGGTGGTCAGTTCCTGCTGGTGGTCAGTTTCCTCCGCCGGCTCCCACCCTGCTGGTGGCCAGTTCCCGCTGCTGGCTTCCACCCTGCTGGTGGTCAGTTCCCGCAGCTGGCGCCCACCTGTACCTTTGGTCTAGTTTATCTGGGTCTCATTTTCAAAGCAGCTCTAGGTTGGGGTTTATTGACTTTAAGTGTCAGTGGACATGGTGCCCCATTAGGGCAAGTATGAAGGGACACGACTGGGCAGGTGTGAGTGGGCACCAGTGCCAGATAAGTGGATGTAGCTGTGGCGAGGGAGATGTGAGTGGACGCAGTGCCCCCAAGAATGGACATGGCTGGAATGGGATGGCCCTGAGTGGACGTGGGTGGGGTGGTGCAGGCGAGAGTGGACATGGTAGTGGCGGGCTGAGGTCAGAAAGGCGAGGAGAGCCCCGAGCCCAGCTTCCCACGGACACGGGGGAGCAGGACCCAGAGTGGTGCTGCCAGCGGGGGCCTCAGATGGACTTGCCCTCCGAGCAGCCTGGCTCACGGTGCCCCTGGAATGTGGGAAGCCCCCGCCCCGTTGTGGAAGGAGTGAGTCCTGGTGGTCCCCGGGGCCGGGGTAAGAGGGGCCTGCACCGGGCCCGCCCCTTGGTTTATTTAATTCTTTTCTGGTTTTTCTTGGCTCTACTCCAGGGCAATACGGAGAGAACCGTCTGGCAGTACCACTTTCGGACCTGGCCGGACCACGGTGTGCCCAGCGACCCTGGGGGCGTGCTGGACTTCCTGGAGGAGGTCCACCACAAGCAGGAGGGCATCGTGGACGCGGGGCCCGTGGTGGTCCACTGCAGGTGAGCGGCCTCTGCCTCCTAGGACTGGGCACAGGGCAGGTGGGCAGGTGTCCGTCCACCCAGCCTTGTGTCGGAGCCCTCAGAGCTCGCACTCAGCTTCCTCTTCTGTTTTTCATTCTGTCTCCGTGTTTGGGCCACCTTCTGCCTCGTGCCTGGAGGGTTAAGCCTGGACCTCCCACGTGCCACGCCCGCACTTGGCCCCTTGGCTTTTCGCTTCAGTGTTGTGACCAAGGACGCATGTCTGATGGAGCGTCTGTTCTCTGCTACCTGGAAATAAGAGCCGTTCTCCTGTGGGAGCGGCAAGACCAGACCCGAGGTCGGGGCCGGCGGGGGTGGCGTGACTGCCAGCCCTCCTTCCGGGGGGCATAGGGAGCGCGCGTGGAGCTTGGTTTGTTCTTTACCGGCGCTTGCTCCTAACTCATTTTCTCCATGACTCATGTTTGGCTCTCCCAGCCCCTGCCTGGTCTCTCCTGCCCGCCTGGCCCGCGGAGACCAGCTGTGGGTAGAGCAGGCTGGGCTCAGCTCAGAGACCGCACAGCCACTGTCATACAGAGCAGACGGTCACGTCGGGAGTAATGTGTCTGTCGCGCCCGCAGTAGGGCTTGGGGGCTGAGCACCCACGAGGGAGCCCCTGGTCATTGTTGTCTGTCCTTTTGCCCACAGTGCTGGGATCGGCCGGACGGGGACCTTCATCGTGATCGACATCCTCATCGACATCATCAGAGAGAAAGGTAGGTCCGGGGAGGCCAACGGGCGGAAGTTCCTTCTTGAATGAGGAAGAAAAGCGCTAGTGAAAACGTCCAGGGATGAGGACGCGAGGGTCAGGCTCATGGCCCAGCTCGGGAGAGCCCAGTGGGACGTGCATCCCTTGCTGAGTCGGAGGCGCCGGGCACAGGCCCGTGGACAAGCATCTTCACCAGGATCGGGCGACTCCAGCTCTCAGGCCGTTCGCCAGCGCACAGAACTGATGCTCCGTGAGCCTTTGGCATCCCTGAAGGCCCCAGCCGGGTTGTCGGGCATCATGTTGGAGAGCTGCTGGGCTGGGCCGTGGGTCGTGCCGCTGTGGGCTTCATCGAGCAGGGGTGGGGGGTGGGGGTGGAGGGCGCTGAGACGCCCCCTCTGACGCTTGGGCTGTTCCGCCCCAGTGATTGTCGGTGTTGGTCCGAAGGCCGTGCTGTCACCGCGACGGATCCTTTGGGCTCTGGGAGCCACCCGCAGCTGTGTGCGGCCTTCCTCCTGGCTCTGTGCTTAGGGACCATTCCTGTGGCACTCGGGGCACCATATGGGGGGCCGGGGTTCAAACCAGGTCTGGCGTGTGGAGGGCGAACAACATGCCCGCTGCTGGCCCCCTCTGGCCCCCGGGCTGTTGCTTCTCGCGACTTCGCTTTCTCTGAGGCTGCCCAAAGCTGGGCATTCACCTTCCGTGTCTTGGCTCTGCTCTTGGCCCTGAGGCTTTGTGGCGCTTGCTTTGTAGGCGTGGACTGCGACATCGACGTCCCCAAAACCATCCAGATGGTGCGGTCTCAGAGGTCAGGGATGGTGCAGACCGAGGCCCAGTACCGCTTCATCTACATGGCAGTCCAGCATTACATCGAGACCCTCCAGCGCCGGATCGAGGAAGAGCAGGTACCCGCCTGTCGGCCCCGGGCTGGGGAGCCCATGTCCAGTGGGGATCGGGCTGCGGGGTCCCTGTCCGGAAGGGACTCCTGGGAATGGGTGATTCCCCTACTTCCCAGTGCCGGTGTCTCCAGGATGGACTAGCTTCCGGGAGGGCATCTGGATAGCTGGGCTGACCTGGAAATGGACGCATGGGAAGGTCAGGGCTGTCTCAGATCCGCGCCTACTCCCGCCCCACGCTCTGCTGTCCCTGGTCCCCCTCCCTCCTTCGGTGAGCGCCTCTCAACAGCCCCCAGCAGACAGCGTGAGCTGCCAATTTGTTGGCGCCAAGAACGCAGAAATTTCCAAGAGGCGCCAGAGCTTCGCCCTTTGAAGCTCTCAGAGCAGACTCCAAGCTGCGTTAACGAGGACTGTCCTGGGATGAGGGAAAAGACTTTGGTGGGGGGTGTGCGGGGTAGGACCCATGCTTTGCTTGTCCCTTGCCACCCAGCACTGGGACGACTCAGCGGGTGTGGGGGCGGTGGCTGCCCCCATTAGATGCTCACGGCCCACTGTTCCCTCAGTTGCCCCCTGTGCTTTCAGAGGAACTCTGAGGTGTTGTCTTGCCGCCCGACGGCACCATCTCTAGCTGGGCTGAAACGGGCTCCCCAGTCAGGAGTGTTGCGGGTGCTCGGGCCACACAGAGATGCTCGCTGAGCCTGCAGCATCTTCAGAAAATTGGCGGCCAGGCACGCCAGGTGGCCCTGCCGGCGGGGGAGGTGGTGCTGGCGTCTTTGTTCCTTTAAGTGCTCTGAGTCTTTCGTCTGTTTGCCTTCCTGCTTTGCTTCACTGGGTCAGGGAGAACTGGAGCATGAAATTGCTCCAAGAGAAGGACGCCCGAGTGCGGAGCCCCCCAGGCTGTGCATACGCTCTGCTTGCCTGCTCGGAAGCCGCAAAGGGAAGTCACACTGGATTTACTTCAGAAGTTTTGTTTTCGTCCTTGGTTTGGAGAATTTAGGGGCTTCCCCCAATTTTTTTTTTGGTAAGGTATTTTCATCTTCTCATTATCATGTGTGGTCTCCGACCCCAAGTCGGTTGTTGTCATTTGAATTTAGGAACTACTTAAAAATAAAACTATTAGAGGCCAGAGCAGTCGTGCAGCATCTAGGGTGTTTGCCTTGCACACCGCCAACCCGGGTTCTGTCCCTAACATCTCATGTGGTCCCTGAGCTCCACCAGGACTGTCTCGAGTACAGAGCCTGGAGTAAGTCCGAAGTGCCACCCCCAACTGAAATAAACCTATTATTCCCCCCTCTCCCCCACCCCCAAAGGGCAGGCCTGGCTCAGAGGGCGTGTTCTGGGACCTTGGCCAGACTCTCCTGCTCTTGACTTTGGGGCTTTTATTTCAGTGATTGGAGGTGGTTTTTTTTTTTTTTTTCCTTTTTGGGTCACACCCGGCGATGCACAGGGGTTACTCCTGGCTCTGCACTCAGGAGTTACTCCTGGCGGTGCTCAGGGGACCATATGGGATGCTGGGAATCGAACTCAGGTCGGCTGCATGCAAGGCTAACGCCCTACCCGCTGTGCTGTCTCTCCAGCCCCTCGGTGATTGGAGGTTTAAGAAAGGAACTGAAGGGCTGGAGCCATAGCACAGCAGGGAGGGCATTTGCCTTCAAGCAGCTGACCCAGGTTCAATCCCTGGCATCCCATAGGGTTCCCCAAGCACCACCAGGAGTGATTCCTGAGTGCAGAGCCAGGAGCAACCCCTGAGCATCGCTGGGTGTCACCCAAAAAGCACACACACACAAAAAAAGGACCTAGAGCTTCCCTCGGAAATGTGTTTGCGCTTCGGCATCGGCCATGCCACGTTCGTTTCATTTGAAGAAAGCGATGAAAAGAATGGAAGTTTCAGATAGGTTCCAGTCTGAGAACATGAAACTATCGAAAGCTAGTGAAACTAATGAAAGTTCTCTCCACGAGATGCGTGTGTCTGAAAGGCCTGTGTAGTGGGAATACAGCCTGCTCGCTTTACTGTCCTTTTCCATGTAGAGAAATACGGTTTTTCCTCAAAAAATGTTAACTGCATATGTTTCAAATGCAAGTATTAGCTTGAGCGGGCCCAGTAACAGTTTGGGAGAGATAGTTAATAATAGATTATTTATTTTTGTGTGTGGGTTTTGGGGAGTCATACCTGACTGCTTAGGGCTTTCTCCTGGCACTGCCATCACAGATCACCCCTGGCAGGGTTCAGGGGACCAGATGGAGTGCCGGGCAGCATGGAAGGCAAGTGACCGACCCACTGTACTGTCTCTCAGGCCCTTAGGAAAAAAATTTTTTTGTTTGTTTTTGGGTCTATACCTGGCAATGCTCAGGGATTCCTCCTGTGTCTGTAGTCAGGGTACTCGTGAGTACACACTCCTGCCACTCCACATGGCAGGGCTCAGGGAACCATACGGGACATCAGGAATCCAACCCAGACTGGCCGCATGCCAAGCCAACGCCCTACCCTCTGTACTATTGCTCTGGCCCCTTGAAAATTCTTTAGTTAGGGACTAGAGCCCAATAACCAAAAAAAAGTGAAAAAAAATTTTTCTTTGTTTGGGTTTTTTTTGTTTGTTTGTTTTCTTTTTGGGTCACACCCAGCGATGCACAGGGGTTACTCCTGGCTCTGGGGTTACTCCTGGCTCTGCACTCAGAAATCACTCCTGGCGGTGCTCAGGGGACCATATGGGATGCTGGGAATCGAACCTGGGTCGGCTGCGTGTAAGGCAAATGCCCTACCCGCTGTGCTATCTCTCCAGCCCCAAGAAAAAATTATTTCGTAATTACTTCATGTAGAAATACTGTGTTTTTTTTTTTAACCTTAAAGAAATTGTTTTTTTGCTTTGTTTTCTTTTGCTTTTTGGGTCATACCTGGCAGTGCTCAGGACTCAATCTTGGAGGGCTCAGCGACCGTATAGGATGTGCCAGGATCAAGCCCAGCTCAGCAGTTTGCAAGCCAAGTGCCCCCCCACCCACTGTACTATCTCTCCAGCCCCTAGGAAGTGTTTCACAGGGAGGGAGAAGTAGGAGTTCAGAGTAGTTTCAGTCACGCAAAATGAGAAGATTCCGGGGCTCTATGGATACAGTTAACAGGATAGTTTTGTTCAGAGACTGTATCTCACATTATGGGTGTGTTCGTTTGTTTTTTTTTTTTAAACCATAATTTAACTTTAAGTTGAATATTTTGGAGGATAGCGCTGGGCACGCAACCCAGGAACCTCACACCTGCAGGGTGGCGGTTCTGATTCTCTCTTGTGCCTCTGTTTTTTGGAGGGGAGTGAGGTCCCACCCAGCTGTGCTCAGGGGTTCCTACTGGCTCTGCACTCAGGAATTATTCCTGGCGGTGCTCAGGGGACCATATGGGATGCCGGGGATGGAACCTGGGTCAGATTGAACCTGGGTCGGCCACATGGAAGGCACACACCCTGCCCGCTGTGCTATTTCTCCGGCCCCATGCCTCTGTTTCTCCTGGGCTTCAGATCCCACTTTGATTTGTCTGTTGTCCACACTTCGCTGTTTCCTGGTTTTGTCTGTTTCTTTATTTGCTTGAGGAGCGGCCTCCGAACAGTGCTCTGGGGACCTTCACATTCTTCAGGTTTTCTGGGCCTTGTCTTTTTCCCAAGGTAGCGTTAGAGCTTAAAGTAGCTTTAAAGATGCCAGTGTTAGTTTATTGTTTCTGACGAAAGAGTTGTCACTTAAAGAAAAAAATTTTTTTGAATGTCTCGGCACTGTGATTCCCGATCCTGTTCATGTGGGGTTCCAGAGCCGCCCCCACCAGAGCCCCTCCTCAGCCTCCGCGCCCCCGTCCCCCACCGCCTCCATCTGTCCGCCTTTGTACCTTGAGTGGGTTTATTTTGGGAACTTTCCTTCCAGCTCTTGACCTAAAAATCATTAAACGTGTTGTCGCAAGTGGCCTATGAAATGATGAGATGCCAATGTGACAGAGCAAGTGTGAATTCCCCCGGGCTCGGGAACAGGGACGTTTGCTCCAGTACAGGGGAAGGCGTGTCGCGGCCTCTGCCTTGGACGAGTCCAAGGGCTCTCCGCGGAGGAGGCCACTTAGGGCATGTGGTCACTGCGTCTCGGTTGTCCAGGGCTCCGCCTGTGGGCCTTGCTCTTGTGTGTTTGCTGCTATTCGGTTTTTCGTCTTTTCCTGAAATCCCTTTTTGGCTTCTCTAGTCCCTGAAACGAAGTCACAATTTCTTACATATGCAACCTTCACCTTTCAGAAAAGCAAGAGGAAAGGGCACGAGTATACAAATATTAAGTATTCCCTAACGGACCAGGCGGGCGGAGACCAGAGCCCTCTTCCACCCGGCACCCCGACACCGCCCTGCGCAGAGTAAGTAGGGGCGGGCGCTGCCCCCGCCCCCTGCGCCCCGTCCGTTGCTCCCTGATCCACGAGTGGCCAAACCCTTGAACCCACTGGCCCTTCCCAGAGACACGTGGCCCCTCCTTTTAACCTGAGAGGCGGTGGGAAAACATTTGTTGAATCGATCGTGACCCGCAGTCGCAGGTCGCTCCCGGCTGTGTGTTCCGAGTCACTCTCTGGGCTGACATTTACTCTTGCTCTGAAGAGCCTCGTCTCTATTTGCTTCCCACGTGGATCTCGCAGGCCCTGTGGACCTTAATGCTCGGCAAACATTTCCGACAGCATGTTGCGGGCCTGGATTAACATTTGCTTTCTCCTTAACGTCGAAACGAAGTCATCGAGTCATTCTGCACAGTGCTCCCGGCTGCGCTCCCGTCCCCGTGGCCGCGTTGGGAGGCCGATCATCGTCGGCAGCTGCTGTCACGTGCAGTGGGGCCCTCCGAGTCCTTGCCAGGGGGTGCTCACGTACTGGCACAAGAGAGGCCGCTCTCCCGGCTCCAGGAGTCCCAGGCACTTGCCTCTGAGCCCCCGCTTTTCGCCCCGGCTTGGGTGGTACCCTGAGCCCTTGTTTCAGGCCCGCCCCCTGAGACTGGCACCCTCCCCCCCGCACCTGCCAGGCCCCTTGTCGCCCTGGGCCACTCTGCCCCCTCCTGGCTAGCAGAAGGGAGCGTGGGCATTTTGGCCAGCTGCCTGCCTGTCCTCGGGCCCTAACTCACGTGGGGGCTCACACCCGGGGATCCCCAGGTTCAGGCTAGACGGATGGACCGCAGGCCCTGCCCGCCTGCCCCAGCAGCTCTTGCCCCTTCCGGCCCCTCCACTTGGCCAGAACTGTGCCCAAGAGTCAGCGTGCAGGCCTCGTGCAGCCTGGCTTTGCTGTCTCGCTCTCTGCCCCTTTGAGCGTCACCACTGCTGGCCCCCCTGCCGGAAAGCCCTGTCCTTTGGGCCTGACTCAGCCCCCCGCCCCCCAGCTTCCCGCCACCTGCCTGCAGAAACTCAGAAAGCACAGGGACCCCAAGTCGCTTGCCCCATCCCCAATCCCCCCGGGAGCGGCAGTTCCCTGGCTATGCATCTATCTGTCTCACAGCCCCGTGGGCTGGAGCTGTGTCCGCTTCGGATGGTGGCCTTTGAGGCCGCACTGTGGTCCAGGCCTTCCTTTTCTTTTGCAGAATGAGAGAAGATAATGCCCGAGTGTATGAAAATGTGGGTCTGATGCAGCAGCAGAAAAGCTTCAGATGAGAAGACCCGGGAAGGCTCCGCACAGACAGAGGTATGGTGCGGGGTGCTGCGGGTGAGGGCCCGGCCGTTGGTGGCAGTTCCCGCGGGGGGGTGGGGGGAGTGCAGACGGGCTGTGTTCTGGGGACCATGTGGCGCCGGGATGGATCCGGGGCTCCCACGGCACAGCCTGGGTTCCAGCCCTGGGGGGCTGTGGAGCAGCTCGGGGACGGGCGTGTTTCCGTCACCTGCACCCTGCTGGGCTGCTGCTTCCCGCTCGTGAGCTGTGGGCCCGTCAGGGTGGGCTGCGCAGGACCTCCGGCTTGCCCTGGGCGCCTCCACGCGTGCTGCAGGGCACGGGTCCCAATTCCAGAGCATCTTCTCAGCCCTTCTTGCCAGGTATGCAGATACCAGGGCTGCCCTGGCACTGTGCCGTGGCCTCGAACCCATAAACCTACGGGCAAGCGCCTTAAGCCGCCGAGCCACCCTCCAGGCCCCCAGCCTCTTCCCCCTGTCCTTAAACTTCGTTGCCCCGAGCTGGGTTCACATGAGAGTGTTAAAAAACAAATGCAATGGGGCCAGTGACAGTATAGCAGGCCTAGTGTCCCCCGCCTACAGGGCTGCCCCGGGCTCCATCCCCGGCATTCCATAGGCTGTCCCGAGTGATCCCCGACTACCTCTGGCCGTGGTCCCAGAACCAAAAACTAAAACTGAAATTTTTTTTAAATGTCGGATTTGGGGGGTCAAGAGCATTGTGGAGTCGGTGTTTCTTAGAGGGAAATAGCGGGTATTTGTGTCTCAGGTGTCACTTCTGTCATTCTTGCCAAGCTGCGCATCACGACTCTGTCAGGATCTGGGAAGCCTGGGGACCCAGCTGGGGAAGAATCGGAGTTGGGGTCCCCAAATTCTCTTCTTCATTGGCCTTTGGTTCCTGGGCTGTGTCACCTGGGGCCCTCTCCACCGCAGACCCGGGCAGGCTCTGGTCTCCCCTGTCTCAGCCGCGCCACTGAAAGTGTCTCTCCTGGATGCGTTGGCAGCAGCCTTGAGTGTGCGATGTGCGTTTCCGTCTGTGAGAAACTCCCCTGTCAGCGCTTGACGGGGAAGCTCCCGCTTGGGAGTTTGAAAACTCACGAGGCTTCTGAAAGCCCAATGTCGCGCCTGCTCCCTAACCATTCCCCCACCCTTCCTTCTTCCCCAGATGTGAATTTTCACCCTCTCCCCATAAAGATGAAGAGCAGGTGCAAGAAGGTTGATGCGAAGACTGAGCGTAGAAGGCTCGTGCTCTGGCCGACTATCCTCGGAGAAGAGAATCTGAAACTGTATTCCAACTCAGCAACTCCTGATTTCCTGTTCCGCCTTTCCTCAGCCAGGGAGGACTCACCACAGCGAGATGGACAGTGTTGGATAGAATTTTATTTCACACGGAGGATGCAGCTCTCTCTGTACTTTAAAGACGGTGATTCAAATTCTAGTTACTGGTGATTTAAAATTTTTTTACAACCTGAAGAAAACATTTTTTTTTTTTCTTTTCCTCTGAGTGGGGGGATGATGGGGTATTTATAAGCGAGAACAACGGTTTGGTAGCACGAGCGACAGCATCCTGCAGGAGAGCGCTTTCCTCGATCGTCGCTCACGCGGTGGTGGACGGCCTCTGGTTCTTTGTTGTTGTCGTTTTTCCTGGCTAAATAACAATGAAACCAGCGCCCCAGACTGTCCTTCGCTGCTGGTCTACTAGGAGCCCGTGGAGGGTGGACGCGGGAAGCGCGAGGCGGGGTGAGAGCAGCCACCGTGCCGCAGTGGCAGGAGAACGAGGGCGAGGATTTCTTTTCATCCGAGCAGGTCTCCGTATTTAAAAGGAAAAACGGACAAGCAGTGTTCGGGGTATCAGTTGTTGCTGACCAACTACCCCCTCACCTCCGTGTCCCCCAGCACCCCACATCCCCCGCTTTGCTTTTCCGTCTGGCCCTGCCCCTCGGAGCTCTTCATCTGCTGTCTTGCTGCCACCCATGAGGGTGGCAGGTGGCCTGGGACTTGGGAGCGCCAGGCCTCCCTCTGCACGAAGTCCCCAGGATCTCCATGGGGGTCACGGGGCCTCTCCCAGCTGCCGAGAGTGAGGGGGACGTGGGCGGGCCTGCTGTCGGCCCAGCCCCGAGCAGGCCGGGGAGGTGGGGAGGCTCGCCACTGCCAGGGAGGTGCAGCCCTAGTTGGAAGAGTAGGTGCTGGTGACCTCGCGAGGCTGGGCGAGTGGAAATAGCCTGCCAGAAGCTTCCTCAACCTGTTCCACCAGCTCTGGGCGTATCTGCAGAAGCATCACTCGGGGAAACCGGACTTCCAGGATGGGTGTGGGGGAGGACAGAGCATTTGAAAGCAGATTGGCCCAGCACCCTGGCACCTGGCCCTTCTTGTCACTGCCTCCAGGCAGGCCTCCTGTGCAGGCACACAGGGAGCAGGCCGAGGACACCCCGATCGGACTGAATAGGCAGCAGCTCATGTTTCTCTGAACCCGGCCGTGAGATCTGCGAACTCTACCTTAAGTGCCTTCTCCGAAGCTCCTTCCCACCCCGCACCCTCCAGCCCTGTTCTCCTTCCTGCCGCTTCCTGCTTTCGCTCCTTCCTGGGGGCTTCCCCCCACCCTGGGAGGCCCGGGCGGATCGGACAGGCTGTACCCCGTGCTCCCGGCCGCATCCCCGCTTCCCTGAATCCGAGCCGCTTCAGAGCACAGGTCAGGCCCGTCAGGAAGCGATTCCATTTCGGTGTTTGCCGCCAGGATCCTGAATCCTGTTCGTGTCGCCGCGTTATCGCACCGCCCGGTTCTCCCTTGGTTTTGGTGGCGATGCTCTGGCTCTGGCCACGGGGGCGAAGGAGGGTCTGATGGTTCTGGCCGCGGCAGTGCCACTGGGTTTGGTTCTTGGGCCAGAATCGCCTGCGCTTGGCTCGCTTGCTTTGTTCCTAGATTCCACGTAGATATCCCCTTCCCAGGTCAGCAGGCGTGACGGACGCTGAGGTTGGTGGTTGTGTTTGGTTCAAGGTGATCGCAGGTGCTCTGAGGCCACGCTGAGAGGCTGGGGACACGGGTGGGCTGGCGGGGAGAGCGGGGGACAGAATAGAATAGTGGAGATGAATGTGTCTGAGGGGAGTTTCTGAGGAGGTCCGTGGGTGGGTGGCCTGGGGAATAGGCGTGCCAGGGATGTGCTGGGTTGCTGGCAGAGGACAGAAATTGCACAGTATCCCGGATTTTAAAATTTTAAGCATAGGATTTTGTATCTGCGGTGTACAAATGAGGCATGTGGCATTAGGGTTCTTTTTAAAAGCTGAATTCCAGTCTTAAGAGGTTTTTCTAAAAGGGATTTTTTTGAAGTCACCTTGCCCACAGGCCGTGGCCTTCCTGAGTGACGGTCCCTCCTCCCCTCGAGGTCCACGCCTCTCCAGAGTGGCGGATGGCGGACACACGTGGCGGACGGGGACAGTGTCTGCGTTCAGAAGGAACCAGCAGCTTTGGGGCCACCAAGAAAAGAATCAAGATGCTGCTCCCTGGGGTTATATTCCCAGGGGCTTCCGGGGGGAATTTCTGCTGAGGGGAAAGATTGGCAGTTGTCAAGTTCTGAGCATTGGCGTTCGTGGGAACGGTTTGCAGCTGTGAAGTGTGTTCGCGTCTTGTCCCTGAGCCTCCCAGCCCGGTGCTGGCCGTGCCCCCTCCCGCCCCCGCGCCCGGGGAATAAAGATTTTCATGGCAAAAGCACATGGGCGCCCTTCCCGATGCCAGATTAGGATTTGCATCAGCCCTTACTTGATTGTGTTACTCTCTCTCCCGCTTCTTGAAAACCAGTTCCAGGATACAGTCTCCTGTCCCTTCCATCGTTACCGAGTTTGTCCCCTTTTTTTGTTCTCCCCGCGGGCAGTTCACACAAGGCAAAAGCATCAATTGGTCTCAGTATGTTGTATACCGTTGCTGTGTATCAAACTAATTTTCGCAAGTTTTTCATCCTAAACCTCAGATCATGTCATTAATAATTTGCCTGTTTATTTATGACCTAATTGTGATTCTTTTATTAATAAAAGCTAATGGAAAAGGATCCTTATTAAGCTGATGACTAGACCTACAGTTAATTTTCCTGCAGTATATGAATTATTGTACCAGAGTATTAAAAGATATGTAATATTTTATTGATAAATCTGTCCTTTAAAAGGAATACATTCTAGGTGTCATCATTTTGATGTGAATCATGTAAATGTTGATAATAAGCAGTGTTTATTATACATTTAGTGTTCCAAGAGAGTCACTTAATTGCCTTTTTGCCCACGTATATTATGTAGTCTATTTGAAAAAAAAAAACCTTTTTTTAAACATTTAAAAGAATAGTTTATGTAGAGAAACATTAGTGAATGCTAATCGTCTCCCCACCTGTATTTATGGGTGTTAGTTCAACCGCTTTGCTAGTTGCAAAGCTATATTATCAGAGTAAAAGTGTATTTGTAAACTGTATGGGAACTAAGAATTAGGAATAAAACCAATTTCTTATATTATGGTAGTTGTCATTCCCTTTCTCAGAAATGTATAAGGGGGACATTGGATCCGAGGTTACTCAGCTCCTTGTGTGGGCCAAGAGCTCTGCCTTCAGCCCTCTTACCTCAACGGTAACTTGGAATTGCATCGACGCCTCCATTCCTCAAGGTGTGCTGAGAACATGCTCCCTGGAGAGCTCTGGAGACAGGGAATTCTGTCTGTGAGTCAGCAGCAGGTGAGGGTATCTGTATCTGTCTGCAGAAACCAGTCCAGAGCCGCATGTCCTGACCAGGTGCTGTGACCGGAGGGGGGTGGGGGGGGGGCGGGCGGCAAAGGGTGCCTCGGGCGTCAGCCCGGGACCGAACTAGGCCCTTGGTCACCTCTGGCCACACTGCATCCACCCTGTAAGTAACAATTCAGGTAGTCCCAAATTGGCGATTCCTGTGATGTAGGTAGGTACAGCGCAAAGACCCCCTTCCGCTTTGCAGACTCAGCTGAGGGCAGCTCATCAGTTCAGATGATTCAAATCAGAGTCATTCAGCCCTATCCTCTCCAGCAGAGAACCCAAGCACACCTTTGAGAAGCCACGCACCGTGGCATCGGACACATCTGCCCTTCGGCCTGGAATTACTAGGAGAGGTCAGAGTGGGACTGTGACCCCAAACGGATGGGTATACTTAGGCGCTGTTTCCCCGGAGCTCACACACTTGCAGAAAGTGTGATGATACCCAGAAAAAGTGCTCAGAGGTGCATATGTGGTGGCAGGGGTCGAACTGGAGTCAGCAGGATGCAAGGCAAGCATCTTTCCCGCTGTGCTCTCTCCTGGGCTCCTGAATCCAGTTTTTATAAGATCTCTGGGCATGCAGAGGCATGCTGACCGTTTGAGATTTGTTGCCTTACAGAGCTTTCACGTGGAGACAAAGAGATCAAGGTTGTTTGAAATGATCCCTTTCTGGGACAATTTCTGTCTGCAGATCACTTGCCACTACAAAAAGAAAGAAAGAAAAATCCATAGACTGGATCTCAAAGAACAGGCACACGTCATCACACAACGCCTTGAAAACAACTTGGCTATTCTGAGCCATCACACCTACCCAGCCGCGTTTGTGAAATCCCAGGCATATGTTCCGTCCTCCAACTCTGGGGGAGAAAGGCACAAATGCAAAGCAAGCGAAGTCTCAAACGCACGTCTGTTGGGTGTGACAGATGTCTGGGACTTGATAGATTTCTAGACTTCCATTCACCAGTTCTACCCTTGGCTTCCCTAGCTAGCTCTTTCCTTTCCCTCCTAAGGCCAATTTCCTTCTTTCTGACTGATCTCTGAGTATTACTTTGTGTCAAGGCTTTATTTAGAAAATGGGAAAGGTCTGAGCTGTGCACAGAGAAAGTTCCAGAATCTCAGCCGCAGATCTGCACCAGGCCCACCCAGAAGTGGTGGATTGTGTTTGCTGGATTTGTTGTTCTGCGGCCACTCCCCGGGCGATCAGGAGTTACACTCCTGCCTCTGCACTCAGCGGTCCCTCCTGGTGGTGCCAGGGATTGAACCCGGGTCAGCCACATACAAGGCAGGTGCCTACCCACTGTGCTCTCTCTCCCGCCAATGCTTTTTTTTTTAATTTTCTGCATCGAAAATAGACAGAAATCCTGACTTGGGACCACATCTTTTCTCTATTTACATTTTATTTATTTATTTTTTGCTTTTTGGGTCTCACCTGGCATTGCACAGGGGTTCCTCCTGGCTCTGCACTCAGGAATTACCCCTGGCGGTGCTCAGGGGACCTTATGGGATGCTGGGAATCGAACCCAGGTCGACCGCGTGCAAGGCAAACGCCCTACCTGCTGTGCTATTGCTCCAGCCTCCTCTACTTACATTTTAGATGGATGCCAAAGCAGGTTTTGATTTAAGGTGTTAATCATGCTTGTGTTTCAGGTTCCAGGCTGTGTAAGACCAGAGTTTGGGGCACCCTCAGGCGTGGGTTTGGTTTCTAGTTATGCCAGGTACTGGCTGTAAGTTTTCTTTTGGGGTGGGATGGGGCCTCCCCAGGGGTGCTTCGGGCCTTGTGGACTACCAGGGCTATAACCAGCACTTGTTGGGGTGGAGGGGGGTCGTGGGGTGCTGGTGCCTTGATTCGAGGCCTACTGCCTGTCAGTCACCCCTGCAGCCCTTGGTACTGACTTTCGAACCCTTGACTCAATCAGTCGGAGCCTTTGTTCCTTAGACTCGTCAGGCACTGGAGACTCTCCAGCTAAGTGATGGTCCTTGTGGCGAAGGTCGGGGGTGGCCGAGCACGTGCTAGGTGCTCAGTGAACAGCCGAGTTCTTCCTAAAGGCTCTGGAACCTGTTCCTGCCTTCAGCCCAGTCTGTCCTTGTGACGTGTGGATTCACTTGCTGACTTGCAGGGCAGGGGGTGATGGTTCAGCCCTTATGTGTGTTGTATGAGCATTGATGCAGCCCTTTGAAGAGGTAAAGATCGAGCATATCTCTTAACTGGATTCATACCCCTTAGGAAGCGCTAACATGGTTTGAATTTCATAATGACTCTTTTTTTTGGGGGGGTGGGGGATGGTTCACACCTGGTGATGCTTGGGCTTCCTCCTAGCCCTGCACTCAGGGCTCCGGGGGACTCTTGGGTACAGGAATTGGGACCCGGGACAGCCGTAAGGCAAGCAAGCACCAGCCGGGTCCAGGTTGCTCCCAAGCATGAGGATGGATGACTGAAACCAGCCAGCAGACGCGCCCCTCCGCCCGCCTCCTGGCCATCAGCATGCAGAGCAGGGCACTGCCCGCTGCAGTGGCGGGAGATTTATTGCTCGTGTTCACGCTCCATGCTAAGGGGTGCTAAGCCTGCTGGCCTGGCGATCGCATTAGATTTCACGTGGCTTCGCCAGCGGCTTTGGGGACGAAGTGCCGCCCCCCTCTCCCCCCCTCCGTGCCGTTTGGACACGTGCTACTGTGTCCTGACTGCCGTTTCTCTCACTCGATGGTGACAGTAGCCCCCTAATGAGCTCCAACATCTGTCCACTCACGTCCCTGCCACTGACATCGTGCAGCTGCAGGAGGGTGGGGAGGAGGGTCACAGGGCTGGGGCATGGGGAGCTCTGGGTTTAATCCCCAGCACCATGGGCTCGAGCACTGATCCTGGGTGCTGCCAGGTGCGTCCCCCACACCCCAAACCAGCAAAAGTAAAAAGCGGGTGCGTTGCTGGGCAGCAGTGAAGGAGGCCATTGTCCTCTTTCGTTGCCCCTTTTTCATTGTCTTGGTGAATGCCCATTTGGATTTATTTCAAAACTCAAGGAGACCTTTTTTTTTTTCTTTTGGGGGGTCACACCCGGCAATGCACAGGGGTCACTCCTGGCTCTGCACTCAGGAATTACTCCTGGTGGTGCTCAGGGCACCATATGGGATGCTGGGAATCAAACCCGGGTCGGCAGCATGCAAGGTGAATGCCCTACCCGCTTCAGCCCCCTCCCCCCCCAAGGAGACTTATAGGTCCTTCTTAGGGGCCCAAAAAGAAAACTGCCAAGCGGGTTTTTTTTTGGGGGGGGTCACGCCCAGTGATGCTCAGGGGTTACTCCTGGTTCTGCACTCAGGAGTTACTCCTGGCAGTGCTTTGGAGACCATATGGGATGCCGGGGGTTGAATTCGGGGTTGGCCATGTGCAAAGCAAACGCCCTGCCTGCGGTACTATTGCTCTGGCCCAAAACAGGGTTTCTTGCGTGCGGCTGGTGGCGTCCCTGATTGTGAAATTGTGAGAGTGTCATTGCTCTTGTCTGCAGCCCCTGATGTAGGATGAGACCCTCTGAAGCTTACCCGTTACTGGGATCCTGTGGCCACCGAGGGCTTTGCAGTGCTCAGCACTAATCAATTACCAGCTCTGTGCTCAGCGATCACTCCGGCAGGGCTGGGGGCACCACACAGGGTGCTGTGGATTGAACCTGGGTCAGCCGCGTGCAGGGTAAATGCCCAGAATCGTGAGCCACCTAAGAGCAGATTTCTCACCCTAATATTCCCGGCCAGGGAGTTGGCTGATGGGCTGAGTGCAGACTTTGCATGAAAAGGCCTGGATTTGATCTCCCCCACCACACAGTCCCCTGAGCACCACCAGGAGTGACCCCTGAGTTCTGTTTGGGTTCAAAAGACTTTTTTTTTTCTTTTTGGGTCACCCTGGCGATGCTCAGGGGTTAAAATCCTGGCTCTGGCTCTGCACTCAGGAATTACCCTTGGCAGTGCTCAGGGGACCATATAGGATGCTGGGGATCGAACCTAGGTCGGCTGCATGCAAGGCAAATGCCCTACCTGCTATACTATCACTCCGGCCCCCCAAAAGACTGTTTCATAGGCTGCCCACTTACCCTTCCTGAGGAGGATGTAGGGCCCCACTGCTGGGGTGCTAACAGCTGGTGGGTGTCAAATGAACTTCAGGGACCTCACCAGGTGGAGACCCCTCCCTCCGCTCCCCCCCCCCCCCCCCCCCCCCCGGCAGCTGCAGCTCAGACCTGCCATAGGACAGCCTGAGCTAGTTGGACCCAACCCAGGGACCCTCAGCTCCCGAACCCTCTGGGACCCCCGTGGGGACGAGCTGC